ATTTTATTAATAAAACTTTATATTATTAATTATTATAAAATGACAAAAGCTTAATTTTGAGGATATAGATGAGTTTTATACAAATTGTAAATGCTAATAAGGAGTAAAATCGCCATTAAAACCGACCCTACACGAAATATGACACATGACCCCCCTCTATCTTTCCACTGCTTTGACCTTTAACCACCAAACTTTGAAAGCATTAATCACCTTATTACACAAAATTCCCTGAAAGATTTCAGAAATTTTCGACAAAAAGCACAGGAGTTATTAAGCTTGAAATTGGATGAACAAAATCGTGCCTCCCCCTATACACACAGGAAAAAATAGTATCATATTTTCTAAAATTTAAATATAAAAAAATGGAAATAAATTTAACGTTTCCTATTTAATAGATAAGGTATTCTTTTAACGAAAAAAAAAGTCTAAAACAAAAAAGTATTTCCCGTATTAATTCATTATAAATTTGAATGTCTTCATGGAGTATCGATGGAGATGACGTGACAATAGATATCGATTGTGTAAATTCAGTTTTACGAACGTTTATTGTTTAGATCCAACAGCTTTTATCGCCAGCGGATATTTATTGTAGTAGAGAAAACATTTTCGGCAATGTCGTCCATAGTAGATGTCATTTTCTCATTCCTCATTACGTCATAAGCACTTTCCATCACTGGTTTGCCTTTATCTGTCGTACTTCCGCACGGACGACGATTAAAACCTTCGTTTCCACCTTCTAACGTACAAGAGATAACATTGTGCAGAAGAGGATGCGGCCCATCATTAGCAGACGTCGGAGGTAACAATATAAATCACCTGTTATCATTGTTGACGTAATCTTTATTCACTACGTCATTTTAAGAAAATTCAAAATAGGACGACATCATTATGACATCACGCACAATTCCTATTTACCTTTACGCGTTAATTCGTACAAATTTAATAAATATATTTTAAAATTTTTAATAATTTATTAAACTTGTAACGAATTCGAATGTCTTTTACTCGATATTTTTTTTTAAACAATTTATTTCGTGTAATAATAGCGAAAAACGAGTTGTAAGAATATTCTCTTCCTTGTTTACTTTCATGCAATTTTTAAGAATAAATAAATAAAATAAAATAAATTTATTTCTGGTAATGTATAAAACAAATATTTTACTTGATAAAATTTTATAAATTGATACGGATACGCGAATTTTTCGAATTTTGTATGAAGTCTGCAATTCGTGACAAAGTTTTCATATATGATCAAAAGAAATAAACACCCGTAGAAAAATCCAATTTAAAAATTTTCTAGCACCCAAAAATTTAAAAAATTAAATAAAATTATTATAAAATTCAGTATTTTTGTTATTGTTTTAAAGAAAATAAAGCTGAATAAAATAGCGAAATCTTCATTTTGTTACACCTTCCTCCTCCTCTTCTTTTTTTTTGCTCTATTCTTTTTAAATCAAGATGGCCGGTGAATCGACATTCTATTAATATTTGATGTGTCAGACATGTCATTTTATATAAAGTATCGAAACGTGCTTCGATCGATTTATATACGGTGTGAAACTTAAAGTTTAAATCGAATTTTTACACCATTTTCAACTTTGTAAACAAAAACTTCACGTTTTCGGTGTTAAGATCAAAGAATGGATAGATACAATGCCATCAATCTAGAATGGGGGAAGAAAGGATAAAAAGGGAGGAAAGAAGAAGGGAATAAAAAAAAAAAAAACGAACTCCAACTAGTGATCAATGGTTTACTACTATGATGTTTTTTGGAACAGTTTTGAATTCGTTTCTTGTCAGCTTAGTATGATTAATAGATTATTTCTTCTTTTTTTTGAGGGGGGANTTTCACCATCACATGGTTGAAAGAAAGCATGTTTTATGTTGTTATATAAAATATCTACTTTATCTCCTCTCAATGAAGTAAAGCGAAATCCATTCATATGAGCTTCTAAAGTTCCAGAAATTCTCTTAGAGTATATATTTGGTCGAATGTAAAGATCTTTCAAATGAAAAATCCCAAATTTATAGAAATTTGGGATTTTCATTGGTAATAGTTTCATAATTCATTTTTTTATAATTGTACCAATGATGTTTTTTATGTATATGTATAAAAGTGATATATTTCAAAAAGCTGCCAATATAATTTTGAAAAAAAGCATGTTAATTATTTAGCAGGAGGAAAAAGAGTACTGTTTACAAATGATTCTGGAAGAAATTTTTATCGAAGGTTTCCTCAATGGACGGATGCCATTATAACACAGAAGCATTGGTTGCAAATGTCTGTTAAGGCACACAAGCTCCACTCTTCCATATTTTTTTAGATGCGTTATCTGTTCCTGTACAAAATCTTATATGTGAAGTTTCTGGTCTGAATTCCAATGGCAACTTAGGGATTTCTTCCTAATAGTCTCTTTACTTGGCTTAGTATGATTGCACTCTGTATCTCCTATAGTTATCTTTCTGGAATTATTTCAAGATTTAGTATTAACAGAACTCCAAGAGCTCAAAGTCAAAAACAAAAAAAATCTATCCTTTGAGAACAGACATTGTTCTGATTTTTAATTCACAAGTGTACAAATTTTATTCTCCAGATAACTGATCTTTTCCATTAAATTGTATGATTTCATGGAATTATAATTGGATGTTTTTCAATGTTGACATAATAACTTTAAAAATGGATAGGTCACTTTTAAGAATTTCTTTTTTAATAGTAAAATTTTTCTATTTTTTTTCGTCGTAATGATCTTTTTTTTTCAATTTTTTTTTTTGGATTCTTTTAAATTGACGTCTTTCGTTCTCCTTTGATTTCGTACAATATGGTTGTCATTTTGGTTAAATGAGTAAAAAGCACGAAAGCAATTTTCTCCTCGCTGCTACAAATAAATTACCGTAATGCTCGAAATATAAAATATATTAAAATTATATTTTCTCTTCTCCATAAAAGAGGACATTTTGGTGCTTCATCTTTAAGAAAACAGCACAAAAAAAGTCCTCAAAATAAAAAAAAAAAAAAGGAAACAAGAAGTGACCAGAACTACAAAGCGGTAAAAATTATCAATTATGTAAAATATTGACCGCTTCAATTCAATTTTATTTAAAATTTTGTGCGGTGAAAGGGGTCGTGCACATAACGTACTTTTATTATATACTGAAGTCAGATAACTATCCATAGAAAAAGTACTGTTGAGGCTTTTTGAACTTCGTTGGGGGGTTTATTGGTCTTCTTGACGTCTCATAATTTAGGACAAAATTTTACTGAATTTTTAATTAATTAACAAGGTTGATGAGTCCTGCGTATCTAGTAGATATTTTTACAATACGTTGCCTTGAATCACGATATATTTATTGAACTCCTGGCGTACTTCCAGCACTGCGTGTATTCAAATTATGGGAATGGTGTAGTGTTGCCAATACTTCATCTATATCTTGAAGTGTATAGGATTGAGAATTTGAATTCATTGTATAATTTGACTGTATCTGATTACACGTTACATTCTGTACAGAATTAACTTATCGTTACTAGGAAAGAATATTACAATTTTTAATACAAGAAATAAAATTGCATCTTTTGATAGCAAGTAACAATTCTGAATTTCTGTTTGACTGAAATAAATTCTAAAGTAGATGAAGTTTCTAATGTAATTTTATAAAATTTCCAACCATAACTTACAACCAAACCATTTACAATATTTACCAAAATGCAGAAGGCAATTCCTGGGTTCGGAATCCATGAAAGATTCAGCTTAAGTGATTATGAAAATCTGTGTAAACCGGACTCTGCAACCACCTATATAAAGTGAAACCTGTGTAAACCGGACTCGTACAAGTAGCATTTTTTCCAGTTTAGTAGGTTTTCGTTTTGAACAGGTTTTACTGTATATACGCTAGTTTATTTTATTATTTTTGTATTTTGTTTTAAATAACATTCAATAATACGTGTTTATTCTTAACGCTTAATGAATACAAATTTTATGGCCGCTATTTAGAGGTGGTTGTTATTGAAAGTTCGACTGTATTTTCTATTTGAACTAATTACTATGTTGTTTTTATTAAATATATAATATATATATTAGTTGAGTCTATGGTTTAAGCATGTTTTAAGTACTCAAAGCTTAGACTGAGAAATGCTATTATCAAATTGACTAATGATATTTTTATTACTATAAATTAGAACTCTAATTGCTATATAGCAAATTATTATTGATGATCCTAAGTATATTTATAATTTAAATATACTTAAATATTTGTTAAATTTTAAATATCAAATTAAGTCATTTTGAAATTTTATAAATTTTTAGCTCAAATTTTAATGTTTGGCCATTGCCATATTAATCCTAAATCAACTTATTTGATATTTGATTGAGACTTATTTTAATGAGTTATTTAATAAGTTTTTCTTTTAAATTTTTGAAACAATTATATTATTATAATGAAAAAAAAATTACACACAAAAAAGTTCAATGTCTACAAATCTTTTATTAAATATACATGTTTATAGAAATTTGGGATTTTCATTGGTAATAGTTTCATAATTCATTTTTTTTTAATTGTACCAATGATGTTTTTTATGTATATGTATAAAAGTGATATATTTCAAAAAGCTGCCAATATAATTTTGAAAAAAAGCATGTTAATTATTTAGCAGGAGGAAAAAGAGTACTGTTTACAAATGATTCTGGAAGAAATTTTTATCGAATGTTTCCTCAATGGACGGATGCCATTATAACACAGAAGCATTGGTTGCAAATGTCTGTTAAGGCACACAAGCTCCACTCTTCCATATTTTTTTAGATGCGTTATCTGTTCCTGTACAAAATCTTATATGTGAAGTTTCTGGTCTGAATTCCAATGGCAACTTAGGGGAACTAATAGTCTCTTTACTTGGCTTAGTATGATTGCACTCTGTATCTCCTATAGTTATCTTTCTGGAATTATTTCAAGATTTAGTATTAACAGAACTCCAAGAGCTCAAAGTCAAAAACAAAAAAAATCTATCCTTTGAGAACAGACATTGTTCTGATTTTTAATTCACAAGTGTACAAATTTTATTCTCCAGATAACTGATCTTTTCCATTAAATTGTATGATTTCATGGAATTATAATTGGATGTTCTACAATGTTGACATAATAACTTTAAAAATGGATATGTACTGATGTAATTCTATTTGAATGAAAAATGAGATTATCTCAAAAATATAAAAATGTTGTTCATTAAAAATGCACAGTTTTCTACAGAGAATCTGTACATATTTGATAATGTTTATCTAGCAGCTGATTTTTACAAAAAATTGCAAACCAGCAATAAGTAGATTGACAATTATTTATATAATTTAAATATTGTTCATGTATTTCCATTCATATTTGTTTCGATATCTCTCTGAGCTCGAGATATTTTTACCTTGTCCTTTGGCGTTTCTGCTTCTCCCGTTTCCATGGCAAACATTTTCATCTTTTCTCGAAAAGTAAGTTTTTCTGGCCCTGTGCTCTTACCGTATTCGAAATGGTGCTGCAGTCGCTCGGCCTCAATGCGCTGCCTTGGATCACGATATATTTCTTGAGCTCCAATGACACCGGGCGTACTTCCAGCACTGTATGTATTCAAATTTTGGGAATTGTGTGGTGTTGCCAATACCTCATCTATATCCTGAAGTGTATAAGATTGAGAATTTGAATTCATTGTATAATTTGACTGTATCTGATTACACGTTACATTCTGTACAGAATTCTCTTGTAAATCATGATTACCATTAGCATCATAAGTCATTTCTGTTTCCAACTGTGAATCATGAAATGAAACTTTCTTTGGCTGATGAGAATGATTACTGCTATCACCGTTGCGTAATGAAGAGGTACCAACAACACGACTATTACTTGAAGTCATGTGATTTGTGACTTCATAAGATGACTTGCGTTCTGGAGGAGCTGGAGGGGGACCCAAAGATTTGTCATTGTATAAAGAATTTGTTTGAGTTGGTTGGGGTTTTGAAGATGTCATTAATAGAGTATCAAGCCTTTGAGAGCCTGAAGGATGAGGATGTCCATACTGAGAGTAGGCTACTTCATGCATCAAAGTATTTTGATTATAATGATTACTGTATTCTGTTTCAAGAGGAGGAGGAGAAGTCGGTAAAGGAGGTGGAATGTCTTGCTGGTTATTTAATGTCATATCAATCCTAGGTTGAGCATTAATAGCAGTCTGATTATTATATGGTGGTGGAGCTGCATGAGGACTAAATCTTTGTTGTTGCTGTGTAGTTCGCTGTGCTCGATGTTCTTCATCCTAATTAAATATAAAAAATATACATTTTTAATAAAATTTAATGAATATAACACAAAATCAATATACAGGTGTAGAAATCAATTATGATACATGTAAAATAAATTAGTGTTTGAAAATAAAATTATTTTATATTATAAACATCTTCATTTACTATGTAGTTTTTGATTCATCCAGAACATCCTCAAAAATAATTCATCCAGATTAAAATTTTATTATCAATTTCAAATGCAAAAGCAATTTATCCAATAGGGTACTAGGGACAATGGAGTCAAAAGCCTTAGCAATGTCAATATATATTACATAAATAGGAAATTTAAGCTCAAAATTTGATAAAAATTACTGCTGTGTTACAAGGAGGTTACTTATTGTGGAATGATGGTTTATTTAGCCTGAATGTTAGACTGGATATAAACAGGAAGTAATTGAGAAATAAAAATATTTGAAACCTGTTTGTATGAATTTTTGTAACATTATCAGAGTTAATGTTATCAGAGTTAATGTTAGATTTAGGATGATAGGATTTTATTTATTTTTTGGGAATGATGGAAATTAAAGAATAGGACCATTGGGGAGGAATATAACTGGAATTCAAGATTAGGGGAACAGATGAAGGAACAAAGAGGCCATCAAGGGAGCAAGTCTTTTATAAAAAAAATAGACAATATTCAATCAGGACTGTAGGTGGAAGTAACAAGGAAATTTATGGCTTTTTTTAAGAGCTGAAAAGAAAAATAAATGATTGGATGTAGTATTCTCCAAATGGCATGCACCAATATTCTCGGTATGTAATGTTTTATACTGAGCTTCTGAAATTATGTTAAAGTAACATGACTTTATGTTACTATAAACACTGCAGATGCAATCATCATCTGTAGAATTGCAGCATTTTATCTTTGATTTTGAAAATTTAGGAAGTCTGCCAAAAAGTTTTGGGTTCACAGGAAAAATCAGAAACAATTTTTTTGAAAATAGTTCAAATGGATTTTACATTCATTCTGATAACTCTTAATAGCCATGTGATATAAATACAATGATTGGAGATGCCATCCCTTTTCCATCTCTGCCACAAAGTACTAGTACAATTTTGTAATCTTTTCAAAAATTTCATGTGCCATTTTTCACTACCTGTATTAATGCATTTATATGGTAGGTATTTCTCCAAAAAAACAAAAAATAAAAGGACCAGTTACAAGAGCTAAGATAAACTGATAGCTGACACCAATTTATGGCTGACCAGATACAAGTTTTAATAAAACTACTTTGATGTATAAGAGGATCAAGATCTTTATGAACAATTATTTGAATAGCTTGGTAGTCAGAGAGGTTAAGCCTGAAACCAGATTAGTTGTAATTAAAGAGTGGGAAGAAAAAACCAAATCCAAACAGGAATTTTTAAAGTTGAAAAGTTTACAAATTGTTTATAATTAAAAAAATGTTATTCAGGAAGTAATTTTCAGCTCCAATCCAATTGGTATATGAAGGTAACAAATAATATCAAGAGATGTAAGTAAGATTAATACCACCACATAAAAAAACTCAATCCTTTATAGGTTGAAAGAAAAAGAGAAATTACTCAAGAAAGGTAAAAATAACAAAACGCTTAGGACATGGGGTATAAACTGTTATGATGTAACACCGAAAACAGTCAATTCTAATGACTAAAATAGAGTCACAATATTTATAAATGTTATGTACTCGAAAAATGCAACAAGAATTCCTACATTGTGTTGAGTAGTTCGAAATGTCAAGATAAAATTGAAACCCAAAGATTCAATATGCAAAGTATCTTAAGAGTGAGATGTCTCCATTGTTTCAGCTTGTAAAGATCAAAAAAATCATTCAGCAATAAGTATAAATTGATGGGGTCTTTTTTAATTGACCTCACATTTTAAAGAAAAACATTTCTATAGAAATTAAATTTAAAAATTACAAATTCAATTATGCAGTGCAGCGAATTACAGAGACATCTAAAGTGCATCAATAGATAAACTAAAACAACACAACAACAACTTATCAAGAAAAAACTATGATAAAGTCTTAAGATTAAACTCTGAAAATTTTAATTTAAAACACTTAGAATACCTCAATTATATATATATATTATATACAAATATATATAAAACTTTATAAAGAAAATTTTGCTTCTTTTTTCCTACCACTTAACTATACAATAACTTGTTAATGAGTTGTTAATTCAGCTTTGAGTTGCTAAGACTTGTGAGTTCATGGATTTCAAAATTAATTTGCTAAAATACTAGGTTGTTCGGAAAGTAAGTTCGTTTTTTTTTTACCACTAAACAGATTAGTCGTATTTTTCCTGCCATTTTCATTCTAAACTGTATCATCATTATATATTTTGACAGCTAGCATTTTAAGGCTTATTTGTAAAAAATTTTGTTTGATTTTGTGCAATTGTTTGTTTTTTGGTCCCATCAAATATGGAAGATCAAAAGCATTGTTTTCGGCATATTTTGCTCTTTTATTACCAAAAAGATAAGAATGTTGTTCAAGCGAGAAAAAAATGTGTGACGTGTATGGAGAAGATGTATTGAGAGAAAGACAGTGCCAAAACTGGTTTACAAAATTTCGTTCTGGCAATTTCAATATTGAAGATGCACCACGTTCTGGATGGCCAGTTGAAGCCAATGAAAACAANATATACAGGAACATATACGAACTTACTTTCCGAACAATCCAATATATAGCAATAATTTTATTGAGTAATTCATTTGAATTTTTTACATTTAAATTATATAACCTGTAAAAAAATTTTGTTGTTTTCCATATACAGGAACATATACAGGTATATATACAGGAACATATACGAACTTACTTTCCGAACAATCCAATATATAGCAATAATTTTATTGAGTAATTCATTTGAATTTTTTACATTTAAATTATATAACCTGTAAAAAAATTTTGTTGTTTTCCATATACAGGAACATATACAGGTATATATACAGGAACATATACGAACTTACTTTCCGAACAATCCAATATATAGCAATAATTTTATTGAGTAATTCATTTGAATTTTTTACATTTAAATTATATAACCTGTAAAAAAATTTTGTTGTTTTCCATATACAGGAACATATACAGGTATATATACAGGAACATATACGAACTTACTTTCCGAACAATCCAATATATAGCAATAATTTTATTGAGTAATTCATTTGAATTTTTTACATTTAAATTATATAACCTGTAAAAAAATTTTGTTGTTTTCCATATACAGGAACATATACAGGTATATATACAGGAACATATACGAACTTACTTTCCGAACAATCCAATATATAGCAATAATTTTATTGAGTAATTCATTTGAATTTTTTACATTTAAATTATATAACCTGTAAAAAAATTTTGTTGTTTTCCATATACAGGAACATATACAGGTATATATACAGGAACATATACGAACTTACTTTCCGAACAATCCAATATATAGCAATAATTTTATTGAGTAATTCATTTGAATTTTTTACATTTAAATTATATAACCTGTAAAAAAATTTTGTTGTTTTCCATATACAGGAACATATACTTGTATGTGCACAGTTTTTCTTTCATAAAGGAAAGCCATATTTACCTGTCTTCTCCTAGCTTCTCTTAATAGCTGCTCTTCAACTTCCTTTGCTGCTTCAAGTTCTTTCTTCCTATTTACTTCTTCTAATCTTAACTGCTTTAACCTGCCTTCTTGTTCCTAAAATTTAAATAATATTAACTTTTAATTTTAAATTGTATTTTCAATAATGTTTTTAAATTATATATTTATTATAACCAAGTAGAATATAAATATAAATAACAAATTGAAATACCTGTTGATACATTCTCAATAATTATACAGGGACTTTCAAGTATTATGAAATATGAAAAACTTTCATTATTTTTCATCTAGCCTTTTCAAGTAATTAAGTGCATTATAATAAATTTTGTAAAATTTGTTTATTTATAAGAAAGTTGTAACCACAATTCAAAAATATTGGTCATTAATATTGTAATAATTATTATTCAACTTTTAAAACTATAAAAGTTAAGACATGTATTCTGAAAAAGAACTGAAGATGAGATCTGAGAATCTGAAAAATGTTAATAAAATAAAGATTTTTGACTTCTTTAAATCTATTAAAGTTGTAATATTTAAGAATATCTGAGTTAAGAAATCAAATGTCAAGATTTCCATACAAAATTANCTTCATCCTGTCTTCTCCTAGCTTCTCTTAATAGCTGCTCTTCAACTTCCTTTGCTGCTTCAAGTTCTTTCTTCCTATTTACTTCTTCTAATCTTAACTGCTTTAACCTGCCTTCTTGTTCTTATATTTGACTACGTTGTTTATCTAATTGGTGACGTTTCCATTCTTCTTGAGGTGAAAGAACTGATTGTTTCCGATGATGTTCTTGTTCCCATTCTAATCGTTGTTGCCTTGCTCTCTCTAAATCTTCTTGTACTTTCAACAGTCGATAGTTACGTAATATAAAAGACTTTTCAAACATAAATGCAGAGCTACAGCAAAAAGATATAAAACATCTTGAAGATGGCTGTTAATTTTTGTCAAGAACATCATTCTCCAGCGATATCGAGCAGCCAAGTATGCCGCGACGGATACGACGTCACTAATTTAATAGCCATCAATCAGGCTGTGAGAAAGAATGGATTTTGTGCTGAATACTTTATCAAACCTCCGGTTAATATTATTATTAAATTTCCCATACCTATTGAAATAAGTCACGTATTACTTGGTGTAAAATTAGGAGAATATCAGACAACCAGTTTGGAAATTTGGTCTAAATATTGGCCGACAAATTATGACGATAAAGATGAGAAATTCGAGCTAATAGGAAAAAGTACAAATATCATAGAAAGTAATGTATTGTTTGCAAATAACAAGTATGCACCGAGAAAACTTTTTTCTAAGTTACCAAAGAATATGTTACCAGGTGATGTGGCTTCTCGACGATTTACCGCAAAGCAGTATACTAATTTGTCCAGCATCAGTTCTTTACAAATAAGTTTAATCAAAGTTTCACATAGCGGTTTTCCCCTTCTCTCTAAATCAGAAGTCTGGGGACAACCTGCCAGATCTTGTCTGGAATCTGTAGTGATGTCTGTTCTGAAAGCAGAACAGAACTCCCTCCCTTCGTCGTCGTCGTCGTCGCTGTTTAAAAGTGATAAAGACCGTTTTGACAAATTAAAGAATTTGGATTTGGATATAGGCAAGAATGATCATCACTTGGATGAAGACGAATTAGACATTCCTGCAGAATTTATTGATCCCATTACTTGTAGTATTATGACGTTACCCATTGTTTTACCGTCCGGGCACACCATTGACCAGTCGACTTTGGAGAAATATGTAAAAACAGAAGCGTCTTGGGGGAGATTTCCAAATGATCCATTTACGGGCGTACCTTTTAACAGTTATCAGAAACCCGTTCCAAGTGCCAGTTTGAAAGTGCGTATTGACCAATTCTTGTTAAAAAATAATAAACTATATTCAGAAGTACCAAGAACTGTGGGAACCAAAGAACAAGAGAATTCTAAGGGAAGAATATCATCTCTTGTGAATTCGGATGGAAAATTGGAATCAACGCAAGGAACAAAGAGATCGTCCCCAGAATCAAATATGTGTGTAAAGAAACACAAACTCAACATTAATAATGATAGTTCTGGTGTAATGAATATATTTAATTATTATAATCCTATTTCGGAACACCAGAAATCATCATCCTCTCCTACGAACGAAGACGATTTAAAGTTTTCTTCAAATTTGGATGAAGCGTTAAGAGCAACTCTGAGCGGTTGTAANAAACTTTCCTGTAAGAAAGCATATCAATATCTAATGCTGAATGTGTTATGAATGGTATCATAAAGTAGATTATGATAATAGCTGTAAATCTGACTGGATCAATCAAATACAAATTAAGTGAAAGAATAAAATGAAACGATTTATATTTAAAAATGATTATATGAATAAGTAAATATTTTAAAGATTTCCTATTTTGGCATACTGAGTCTCTTATTTCTTAAATATCATAGCACTATCTGTACTTTAATACCTTATAACTGACAATAGGAATGGATCAAGAAATAGTCACTATATTTCCCATTATTTTTGGCCATTTTGTATTAATATACTAAAAAGTAATATTATGGAATATAAAATGAAAGAATAGGTTTATGAAAAGATAAATATACTAAATACAAAGATAATAGATTTTTTTTATTAAATAAAATGTGTGTGAATATAAAAAACATTAATTTTGGTGGATTACCATAATATTAGTATATAGAATCTAATTTACAAAAAATAATTAAAATTTACTTCTATTTGACTATGTTGTTTATCTAATTGGCGACGTTTCCATTCTTCTTGAGGTGAAAGAACTGATTGTTTCTGATGTTGTTCTTGTTCCCATTCTAATCGTCGTTGCCTTGCTCTCTCTAAATCTTCTTGTACTTTCAACATTCTTTCCCTGTTTTCAGCACGATCAAGAAGCTCCTATAAATTTAAATATTACTAATTTATTGCAGTATATATATTTTTTAAACCAAAATTAAAAAGTACTGTTATATATGATATTTAGTCTATTTAAGAAATATCTCATATTTAATTACAATTTATATAAACATTTCCTACCTCATCCTCCTCTTCTTCTTCATCTCCATGCAATTCTTCAGCACGTCTCTGAAATTCTTGTTCTAAGCGAAGAGTTCGTAATCTTTCTTCCTGTTTTGGATTACGACGCTGTAGTGTTTCTAATTCCCTTATTTCATCATCCCGAACTCTACGAGCTTCTTCCAAACGCTGCTTCTGAAGCTAAAATAAATAAATAAAACAGACAAAAAATAAAAAAAATAGCAAATAAGAATGTTAATACTAAATAATTCTTAAATACAGAAGTATCTTCAACAATTATAACTATCTTAAAATATACTTAAACAAATTTAAACACATTATCACAATTACTCTACAGTTTCAAATGTATCACTGATGCAATTTACACTCAACACACATGTCAAACATTTGTTGCATTAGTTATATTTAAAGAAAATAAATAATAGGCACAAACTGAAAATAGAAGTACACAACAACAAACAAGTTTGAAAACATGACTATCAAACATTAAGACAGGTTGATCAGACGTTTAAAAGATAAAGACAATAACATGTTCACTATTCTTTTTGGTGAGTGGGGAACATACTCACTGGATAGCATGTAGTGTTAATTGGTTGAGATGTTTGCAAATAATTCGAACCTTTTTGAATCTAAAGTAAGAAAGATGCAATTTTAAAATAGTAAAGAATAACTGCAATTAAGACATTGCATAAATAATCATTATTAAATAAATTAACTTTGGCAATTACTTTGCACAGTATTCAACCAAATAATTTGTGAAAATTTCAGTTACAATTGGGAATATTTTTTAAAAGTAAGTACTATTAACTGTGTTAATCAAATTAATGTTAATAAAATTATCTAATTTTGTCATAAAAATCAACTTAAAGGAAACTTTTGGAGTGTCATTTTTGTATATGGTGTAAAAAAATTTAATATTTTGTTGGATTATCACTTCTCAAAGTATCATTATCATCACTTTTCCCAACACAGGGATGTCCAACCTGCCATCCACTTAATATTTTTATGTGGCCCATTGCACCATATATTTTTTTAGGTACATTTTCATTTATTTTGGTAAAGTATGCCATAAAAATTATTCTCGTTTCACTGGATACACTTTGATATCATAATGACATAATTGGTGCTAGAAAACTGTACTACCCCACATGCATAACATACTGCTGTAAACAATTCTTTTTGTGCATGGAAAACATCGAAACTGTTGACAGAAATAAGTTGAGTAATTCCCATTTAATTAACATTCTTAGATTTAAGACTAATATCATAAAAGCAGATATTGACAATATTATAATTGAAAGGCAATGTCAAAAATTGCATTAAATTTATTTTTATTTTTGTGAGTATAATTTCTTTTTTTACTATCAATAATACAGTATTGTTTGTAATTATATAAACTTTTTAAAAGCACATATTTATATAAAGTATCTTTGTGGCCCACTGAATGTACTTAAATTTCTAATTTGGCCCATTAGGAAAAAAGGTTGGACAACCTTGGCCCAATAGATGTTAGCAGTATCACATTGACTGGTCAATATTGACCAGTCAATGTGATAAAGAATGTGAAATTTATTACAATGCTTAATGTTGTTTGTCATTATTCATAATGACCAGGCATTGCTTATAAAGCCCATATTCATCACTTAGTCCATAACATATATATCGGTATTAATAATCTATTAATAAACTTAAATAAAATAATACATTAAGTTAAATAAAAAAAATATTAAAACTATATCCATTAATTATTCATAAATGTTCTTTTATAATTGAACTAAATTTCATACTTTGTAATCTTTTTTAATAATCATAAAAGATAATATTTTTAACATTTACTTTCTCTATATAGACATTCTAAAAATTACCTTCCATCAGGAAGTCTTTGCTGAATATGACCTTGAGGTTGGGGTCTATATTCAGGACCAACATGTCCAGATTGACTTCGATGTGGTGAAGGTGGAGGAGGAAGATATTACATAAAATATTTTTTATTGATTATAAAATATAACTGAAATTTTCATACATGATTAATTATAATTTATATACAAAAATGTTATTTATTCAAAATTATATTCTACTTCCATTTATGTTTGAAATTTCTATCTAATGAAAAATTTTGCTTAAATTATAATGACTTAAGATATATCATCATATATTAATAGCAATATTAATCATAAATAATAATTTAGTACATAATAATTTATGCATTAACATGTTAACCACAACCACCATTGAAAAAAAATGTTACATTCTCTTTTTTCTACAGATTTATATTCTTTTCATATTAAAAAATCCAAATTTGTTCTTTGAATTGATTTTTTAAAAACATTTATGCTAATTTTGAAAGTTTTGTTTGAGACACAGTATATATATGTCTCAAGGCTTAGACACATGAATTTACATGTATAAGCTTTGAGTCACATATACTGTACCTAAATTGAAGATTGGTACAAGTTTGTTTTGCATTATTTTTTTAATTCAACTACATTTACAGAAATGCTCTTTGAGGTACTACATGGAGCATATTATGTAATCAGTCATCTTGTACCTTAAAACACTAGGAGAAATTTTTAACACATCACATAAATGGTATCTTGTGGCAGTTAACACGTTAATCTTTGATCTCACATATTCACACAGATTTTAACATTTCAAAAAAATGAATACACAAAACAATAAAAAATAGATTCAAAAATAAAATAAACAATTATACAATAATATAATTTGGATATGAATGAAAGAAAAACAAATCACCAAATAAAAATAGATTGTCTTCTGATTTGATTAAATTTGATCTTGATAATTTACAATTACAAATAGTCAAAGTTCTGTTTTGGGATTCCTATTGTAATTTAAACTGGTTGTAAGTTTAACATAAAAAAATAATGGTAATGAAGAGTTATATAGCCTATAGAGATATAGCCTTATGTGTTGCTTTGAGAACTAACACTGTTTATGTACAGTACAGTATGTATATTGTAAATAAAACCTGATTCATTTTCATGCTTACTAAACATATTGAATTATCAACCCAATGATTTATCATGCTAGAAGAAGATAACTATGTTTACAGCCATCAAAAATCATACTGAGGTGTATCACAATCTTTAAATTGAATTGATCTTATTTTTATTGTTAGTATTTTTAATTTAATTTATTATTAATTTAATCTAACTTTACTACAATACTGAAATTAAAATGATAATACTGAAATGAGCAGTTCTGAAGTCAGTCAGTTTAGTTTATGCTCTTGAAAAGCCAAAATGGACTTGTAGTTAAACAATGATATCTTCTAGTTTAATTACCGGTACCAATGAACACCATTACTAAACCTTTAATTCCAATAACATAGCATTTAATACAATATTGAACTAAGACTTTTGGCCTTTACCAAAATCTCTTTCAGGTTCTTAAATTGTATTCAATATTGTATTAAATGCTATGTTACTGGAATTAAAAGTTTGGTAATGGTGTAGTTAAACAATAATGAGTTATGTAGAATGCCCACAACAGTATTACATTTGACATTTGTTACATTATGTTGATAATAAGTGTTAATACTTGAACTCAAAAATAATTTTTTTTAGTATACTAGCTTCACCTGTCATAAATACTGTTTTTCATAAGTCATGAACTGACTACATGTTCTTAAAGGCAAATTTTACTGTATCAAATGAAAAGTTATAAATTTTGTTTTCTTCAAACTTCTTCATAATTTGACAGTAATACGTTTAAATAAAAAAGAAAATTTTAAAACTTCAAACAGCAGTTATCAAAAACAAAAGTATTGTTTTGGAAATCTTTAAAAAGAATATAAAAGATTACTGTGATAATTTTTACTTTTACTTCCCAACTCAGAAACTAAGATATTGACTTACAGAAAAATTCTGTTATTGTGATAATTTTCTAATTGTAATAAACTAATAATTTAACATTATTGATGATATTATTATGTTAATTAATTCAAACACGTAACTTCACATATAAGTAGGAACAGAAATACATAGTAATTGACTGAATAGAAAAACAAAGTAAGGAAAACAAGTAAAAAAATAGAAAATATTAAAATTGAATTTATCTGATAGAATATTAATCTGAATGCACATTAAAATATAATGGCTGTACTGTATAACACATTATACAGTACAGCGTTGATTATCTGAATCAATTGGGGACTAGGGTTGTTTGGAAAATCAATTTTTCGGATAACCAATTATGTATGAAAAAATATATTAATTGACTGAATAGAAAAACAAAGTAAGGAAAACAAGTAAAAAAATAGAAAATATTAAAAATTTATCTGATAGAATATTAATCTGAATGCACATTAAAATATAATGGCTGTACTGTATAACACATTATAAAGTACAGCGTTGATTATCTGAATCAATTGGGGACTAGGGTTGTTTGGAAAATCAATTTTTCGGATAACCAATTATGTATGAAAAAATATATTATTAATATAGTATATTAGTAAATCCCATTAATAGTATATTAATATATCCCATGTTTAAATTTTTCTGTGTTGCATGTCACTTTGCATTGAATTTTTGCTGATGTTAAGCCTAACAAAAATTTTTTAATAATAATCGTGGCTATTGTATCATTAAACATTATTTCTTTATTTTGTACAAACAAAAAAAAATTATACTTTAGAAGTTAATCTAGTATCAAAAACATTCGATTTAGCATGACACAGTCTGAATGGAATGCTTTTGGTTAACGATTCGGTTGATCGGCATTCGAATAATCAACGCTCTACTGTAATTCATTTTATTTTGTGTATAGATAGTTAATAATAATTTTTAAAAATTTGAAAGCTTAAGACAAATGTGTACCTAAATATAAACTAAGACTAGATACAAAAAGTTTATTCTGTTTAAATAGATATTGGAACCAAATAATTCAATAAAATCCCAATCCTCTAAACAACTAAACTATCAATATATTGACATATGATAAATTATCCTAAATCACTTAATAATTTTATGAGAATCTGTAATAAAATAAGCTAAGTTCTGTTTCAATTTTAAAGAAAATGTTCACTAAAATTTTTCTGAAAATCTTTGCTATCTTGAAGAAATATGCAAAACAAAAAAGCCATCTTTATTTACTAAAAACTTTACATTTAAATAAATTTATAATGAAATAGAGTAAATGATTTCTAATGGATAATAAAAAAGGTACAAGAATTATGAAGTTATTTCAATTAAATTAGTAAATTTAGTAAATTAAAAATAGATTCATTTCCAATCATAAAAAACTTTCTGCAATCTGCAGAATTTCTTTAACAAAATCTATTAATATCTTTACAACATTTTAAAGATATACAGATAAATTATATGATTATTTTCCAGTTTCAGTTACTAATAAAAATTATGAATGTTAGAAAAAAAATAAAAAAATAAGATCAACAGAAGAAATTGTATCATCAATTCAAGCAATTATTAATGAATTTCAATAAAATAAAAAAACATAAGTTATTATCTGATATTGTTGACAAGGCCAAAAATTCTGTTTCCTAAGTAAAAAATATAGAATGGTCTGCTTGAAAGTACCCAATTAAATTTGGTTACAAAATAATTAATGGTTAAAGTTATAAGTTCACCAAAGATTTTATATGACAAAAAAATCTCATCAAATTTCATTGAGAAAAATTGCCACATCTCTATATACACTCCAGGAGTCACAGCGACATCAAGATGTAAGTGTATATAGTAGGCAATTTCCTACTATATACACTGCAGCATGTCCTGTCTCAGTGACAATGGCAGAAATGATGTACTCCTGAAAATCCTTAAGGTCTCTGACTGAAGTTCATAAACCATATTTTTCATGTAACCCAACATAAAGAAATCTAAGAGTCAAGATTGGGAGATCTTAACAGCCACATTAACAGACATACCACACCATGACCTGTCCTTTCTCATGCGGCAAAACCAGGACTAGACAACAATGTTAGTGATTCGACTTCTGCACTATCTTGCAATATGAAAAAATCTATAAAACTCGATGAGTTTTCTCATCAGAAGCCACTTGTTGCTTTTCTTATCTTATCTTAAAGCATTCATTTTTTAAGGTGAATTAAAAATTGGGTACTTTCAAGCAGAAAACCCTGTATTTTTGATGTCAAAAAGGAAAAAAAGAATAGGAAATCAAACTTATAATTTTAACAATATATCATAAACCAAAATAAGTAGAACTTGTTTCTACGATGATATGATATAAATATATTTTTCTTTAATCTCAATCTTTTTCAGTCCTCTCAATATCTATAATGTTTTTCTTTATTGTTTTATTTCTTAATTTTAAAAATAATTATTTCAGTTTATTTTGTGCATTATAATTCATAAAATTTTGAAAGTCAACAACAAAAGTTATTGAAATCTGAACAAACTCACAACTTAACTTATAAATTTAAGATCACAGAAGTCTTCAAAAACTTAAAAGTTAAAATAACTATTCCACATTTATACAGTTTTATGTTACTTAAAATAAATTTATACGTATGTATTACCTTCTCTTTTTCTTCTCTTTCCCACGGTGAAGGACTAGCTAAACTTGAAGAATCTTTTTTATCTTGAGATGATGGATGTCCAGAAACAGAGAGCGAACGTAAAGTATCAAATGTAACTTGTTTTTGACCTTGAGCACTAAAATTATTAATAATATTTATGTTAACATGTATTAATGTTTAAAATTCAATTTATTTATAAAGTTTTTAGTTTAATTATATTTTTAATTACAAAAACAAAAATTTTAAACAAGGAAACTTCATTTGTTTATATTGCACTTCAATCATTAAAAAATGTTTTGTCTATGCCTATATTTCATAGTTTAATTGCAGAAATTTATATAGTAATTGATCATAAAATACTTTTTCTACTTTGCTTTAATTAAATTGCTATAATTAAGTTAATTCATTATGTTAAATACAAACCTTTGAATGATAGAAGATTGCTTTGCAAATGCTGCACTTATTCTAGGATCTAGATAAGGTGGTTTTCCAATATTTGAATGATTTTCTCCAGGTCTTGGAGGATAACCAGAAGGACCATAACGATAACTGACAGCAGGTGGAGGAGGCCTCTGTTGTGAAGTTAAATGACTATTGCTTGATGTTAATGGATTTGATGAATCCTGGTATGCATTATGATTTTCTGGTAAGTTATCATGGCGACTATTATATCCATATTGTTTATGAGATTTTTCATTTCCTGAATGTGGTCTTGGTTTTGGAGCTGGAGGTGGTGGTGGTCCACCAATTGTGTTTGTACGAGGACCTTGTGGTCCTGGTGGAGAATTATAAGAACCAGGACCAGGATATCCTGGAGGTGGTTGTCTATTACTCTGTGGAAGCATCCCAGACTGAGGAGATCTCATGACACCCCATGGTTGATTTGACTGTTGATGATTGCGCTCTTCTCTACGACGGACTTCTTCTCTCATTTCCTCCATCTTAGCTTCTTGGCGAATTAAATCACGCTGCCGAGATTCAACGTGCTGAGGTTGAATATGGCCATGACTATAACTTGGAAGGTAGTTACGAGAATTATGATCTCCGTAAGGTACATTTTCTGGAATTGCTTCATTAAAGAAATGCTGATCTGGAGGATTATGATATTCTCTGTATAAAAATTTTTTATATTAAGTTATTGTTAGATAATACATAATACAGATTACACTACACACATATATTATGTTAATAAATATTAAAATTAAAAGCAAATATGATACAATCAATTAAAATATTTGAAGTCATTAAATTATAACATTGTTATAAGTTAGAATATAATAACTCAAATTCATTTCAATAAATGATGTTACAGTCTTAAATTAAGATTATATTTTACAGAATAACTGAATAGTGCCTCCTTTTTAAAATTTTACATTAAAAAGTTATAAAGATGTAAGTGAAAAATATACAATATTTGTTTATGATGAGAACATAAGAATAAAACATTTAAAAATTATGTATTTGGATATATTAATACTAACGAGTTCTTTCTTGTCAAAATCCTTACTACAATAGTAAACAAAACTTATCATATAATAATAGTATACAGTAGGACCTTGCCACATGCAATATTAGATTTATATTATTGGCAACCTGAAAAAAATAAAAAATATATAAAATAAAAATTCTTAATTGCACACTAAATCCACACTAATTTTTAAAGTGCATTGCAGCATCTCATTCACTCTCATTCTGGAATTCATTACTTGGAATTGTTTCTTTGTTTCGCTCTAAACACTCTGATTCACATCAGCCTTTGTTCATAGTATTTGCATGTCATGTCATGTCTGTGGATACCAGTGCTTCTTATAAATTTATGCTAATTACTTTGCAAATATGGTATCATAGTGCAAGGATAGTGATGCTGATAGCTCTGATAAGACAAAGAAAAGCTGTAAAGTACCTACTTTAGAGGAAAAGATTAATATTTTAAATTTAGTGAGAAAAGATAAGTCTGCTACCAAAACTTTTTCAAAGTTATTATGATTTATGATATCATGCTATTTATTGTTATATAAGAAATATTTAATAATTAATACAGTTCACTATTTTATGCAAATTTCTGCTTATGTGAGAGGACTTAGAATGTATTGGTTGCATATGGCAGGACTCTACTGTATTTACATTAGTATAAATGCAAGAATATGTAAAGTTGTAATATGTAAGACATTAATAAAAAAATGCATAATAATAAAATTAGACAAGATTAAAAGATAAGCCAGAAAAGATATAATTTTACAAAACGAACTGAGGAAACTTAAAAGTTTTCCCAGTTCTTTATGCAAGATTATAGGAAATCTTATTTTGTTATATATATATATATATATATGGTATATGTTATGGGCCAAGGTGATTAATAGGTCATTATTTATAATGTCCAGCCATTATGAATAATGACTAAATTGACCACGCAGCCTGATAAATATTGATTAATTTATTAAATTGATCAGACAATAAGCATAAAGTTACATTCCCTTTGGGCAATTTGATTTTCCAAAAAAAGTCCACTTTTTTCATTAAGAATTATTTATTTTTGGAAATTATTTCAAAGTATTTTAGGAGAAACTTGCTCATATTATATGGTTTATATTAAGTTAAAAGGTATATATATTACATTAAACTCTTTATTAATCAACACACACTATATAATAGATAGAATCATTATTAAATAAATTAACTTTGGCAATTACTTTGCACAGTATTCAACCAAATAATTTGTGAAAATTTCAGTTACAATTGGGAATATTTTTTAAAAGTAAGTACTATTAACTGTGTTAATCAAATTAATGTTAATAAAATTATCTAATTTTGTCATAAAAATCAACTTAAAGGAAACTTTTGGAGTGTCATTTTTGTATATGGTGTAAAAAAATTTAATATTTTGTTGGATTATCACTTCTCAAAGTATCATTATCATCACTTTTCCCAACACAGGGATGTCCAACCTGCCATCCACTTAATATTTTTATGTGGCCCATTGCACCATATATTTTTTTAGGTACATTTTCATTTATTTTGGTAAAGTATGCCATAAAAATTATTCTCGTTTCACTGGATACACTTTGATATCATAATGACATAATTGGTGCTAGAAAACTGTACTACCCCACATGCATAACATACTGCTGTAAACAATTCTTTTTGTGCATGGAAAACATCGAAACTGTTGACAGAAATAAGTTGAGTAATTCCCATTTAATTAACATTCTTAGATTTAAGACTAATATCATAAAAGCAGATATTGACAATATTATAATTGAAAGGCAATGTCAAAAATCGCATTAAATTTATTTTTATTTTTGTGAGTATAATTTCTTTTTTTACTATCAATAATACAGTATTGTTTGTAATTATATAAACTTTTTAAAAGCACATATTTATATAAAGTATCTTTGTGGCCCACTGAATGTACTTAAATTTCTAATTTGGCCCATTAGGAAAAAAGGTTGGACAACCTTGGCCCAATAGATGTTAGCAGTATCACATTGACTGGTCAATATTGACCAGTCAATGTGATAAAGAATGTGAAATTTATTACAATGCTTAATGTTGTTTGTCATTATTCATAATGACCAGGCATTGCTTATAAAGCCCATATTCATCACTTAGTCCATAACATATATATCGGTATTAATAATCTATTAATAAACTTAAATAAAATAATACATTAAGTTAAATAAAAAAAATATTAAAACTATATCCATTAATTATTCATAAATGTTCTTTTATAATTGAACTAAATTTCATACTTTGTAATCTTTTTTAATAATCATAAAAGATAATATTTTTAACATTTACTTTCTCTATATAGACATTCTAAAAATTACCTTCCATCAGGAAGTCTTTGCTGAATATGACCTTGAGGTTGGGGTCTATATTCAGGACCAACATGTCCAGATTGACTTCGATGTGGTGAAGGTGGAGGAGGAAGTGAAGTGCCAGTATTATGCATATAACCCAAAGAATTAACATACTGTTCTTGTTCACGTGGTGATACAAGAGTAGAAAGTGGTCTTGAACGATCTAATGATGATTGGGTCATCATCTGTTGATGATCTGGTCGATTTAATGAGGAATGTGAACCATGAATTATTTTTGGAATATGTTGTTGCTGCTGCTGCTGTGGTAATTGCTGCTGTTGATGTTGTTGTTGTTGCTGCTGCTGTTGCTGTTGCTGTTGAGAATATTGAGTTGGAGTAGGCCTAATAATAAAATTATATAACATATAATTAACAAATTAATTCAAAAGTATTGAATATATGCAATTTATATTTCTATAATTGTTCATTTAATATTCAATTTGTAATTTATGTACTTTATTTTGCTAATTTATTTAAATTAGTTTACAGATATAATTTTATAACATCTGACAGAACACTTTGCCCAAATGCTAAAAATTTATAATTTAATTTTAATTAAACACAAAAATTAGAAGCACACTACATAATATTTATTCATATTTAAAATTACAGTCAAACCTCTGTTTTCAAATATCTCACTTTTCAAACAAATCAATTCACAAACAGAATTTCAAACTCACAACTGCACTGGTTGCAATATAATAACTTGGTTGCTGAGCAAGCTAACTTGGCAAGAGCCAGCCACAGATCAGAGACACACAAATGGTCAACTCCCTGTAATTCCTATGTTAAAGAAAATCATTGGCCTAACCAATCAACAATAAGACTACTGATTCAGAAGTTAGTGGTACCAGATTGCCCATGTAATTAGATGTCACGACACAAATCATCTATGACATTGCTATTTAAATTAGATTTCAATGGGCATGCAGAAAAGATACTACTTCTGATTCTCATCACAACTGAATTTAAATCAAATTAAATTAAAAACTCATTAATTGACATTCATGTAATATAAATGGCATCCAAGAATTTGTGTTTAAAAGTGCTTAATTCAAATTAAATAACAAAAATTTATTATATATAATACAGTAGTATACTATATATAATATTACATTGTATTTTTAGGCATTTTTATGCATAAAATACAGCTTAAAAAAAAGGCAAAAAAAAGCTGTTTAATAGTGTCAATTAAAAATGGTAGTTTCTGGAAAAATTGCAATGGAGAAGAATATATTCAGGAAATAATGGATTTTTCATATATTTTTACTTTCCTGGCTCTGTTATATATAACAAAGGCAAGGGTTGTGCTGCACAATGACAATAAAAGCATAATACTGGCAATAAGAACTAGACTGCTTATTTCAACATTTAGCTTGAAAGTGAATCACAAAGCATGCTTCAGGAAAAACAGTAGAATGTCAAGCTTCTGTGGATGGGAGTTCTGTGCACCACATATCTAGCAATGTCATGGTGTCATACAGCAAGTTTGAACAGGAAAGTGGGAAGTAATGTTGAAAAAGTAAGCAGTTTACTTGCAATGTTGCCCAGAGTTTCCAGATTGGGAATTTTTTTTATGGGCTGACAGAAAATTTGGGAATTTTTGGGGTGACATTTTTCCACTTTGATCTTTTTTCAGTAGACTAAAGTGTAAAAATTTTGAAATGACAGAACCTATGACGTATTGTTTAAGCATCTGTGATCAAATGTGTTATTCAGAATTATTTGTTATAAAATTATTCAAAAATGGTTCCTATTTTTAAGTAACAGCTTAAGATGTTATTTTTGCTTTCAAGACTCCAAACTGTTACCAACACCTGCAATTAATTACAAGTAAAACTGTTGGCAATAAATAATATGAAGTTGCAAAAAAATGTAAAACTAGCAAAATGGTTGGTCATTTTCTTTTTCCAGAGCAACCCCTGTAGAGGGAAAGTATGACAATTAGTCAAGAAATGCAAAAAAATGTGGGTATTTTTTTCTGTATGTATGAATGACATGGGGGAACGATTTTGTTCACCCACTTTAAACTGTGCTTTGTCAAAAATTCCTGAAATTTTGCAGGAGGTTTGTGTATTAGGAAGATTGATTATATTAAATTTTGGTGGTTGAAAGGTTGAGGGTGTGGGGAGATAGAGGGGGGTTGTGTGTCATATCTCAAATAGGATCAGATTTAATGACAATTTACTCATTATGAACATTTACAATTTTTTATAAAATTCGTCCCAACCCTCAAAATTAAGCTTTTTGCTACTTTATGATAATTAAAAATATAAAAAGTTTTTTAATAATATATCATAACAGATAACACCACTTGCAGTTTTAAATGCTGCTGAGAAAGTTAAAAAACTCACTGCTGGATTTTTTAAATATGCTCTTGGAAGTTTAGATAAAGACATTCCTGTTGGATGAATTCTTAATTGCAATTTAAAACTGCCAAATAACCTGTACAGTACAGTCACATAACCTGCACTCACTATAAAACTGACTTTTAAACACACAAAATCCACAGTTTATTCAAGGCAGTTATATTAATTTAAATATAGTGAGTATCTGAATGTTAAAAATTAATTATAACAAAAATCTCTAATATGTTTAGAACATTGTTTTTATAACACCTGCTTACAACTGTTATACTGGTTGCTCTTCAAATATATCATGTTCTTCAATTTCAGATTACATTTATAATTTTATAATGATAATTATAACAATATCAGTAGAATAACAAGGCATTGCTGTATTCTGCATAGGTATATTTCTAATACTAACTTATTATTTTAAATTAAAAAATATCAAATTTTAGTATTTTCCATATTTTATAGTTATTATAAATAAATTGTTAAACAATTTTCAATGACCCTTACCTTGATAATGAATGACTATTTTGTTGTTGATACATGCTAATATTTTGATAATGTCTTTCTTCTTGAATTAATTGTTGTGCTTGTTGCGACTGATGATGTAAATTTGGTTGTGATCCAGGTCGACCTACAGGTCCAGGAGTTGCACTGTAAGCTGGTGGTGGATGTCCTACTGGTGGTATATAAGGATATCTGTCATTTGATGTTTCTTGTCTAAGGTTATTGGTAGATTTTGAACGACCTGCTGAATCATTAGGAATTGGACCAGAGAATTCTGCAGCTTTTGGTATAGATGTAGTAGATGAAGTGCGACTGTACGCTGGATTATATACTTCATGAGATCGTGAACTTGTGCTAGGTGGTCGATTTGTATCTTGAACAGATTGTCCACCTGAAGTATGAGTAAAAATAGATAACAATTTCAATCACAAGAAATATTTATATTTTAAAATTATTCATTGTGACATCTCACAATACTCGGATGCAATGTTTAATCATATTTTTAATTTATTTAATTTAAAATATATGCTCTCCATCTCAAATTAATACTATAATATCTTTGCCCCTGTACATCATAGTTTTCTGTTAGCAATGGAGTTATGCTAGCCATCTATCTAACTTTTTGAATTGAAATAATGTGACTTCTGGTTTTCAAGGGAAGTTCATATGTAGTTAATTGGGGCCTCCTGCCTCTAAGCTTTCCATATCTGGTCTTGACTTTCATGTATCGAACTCCGTTCTCAATATTAAGGAAGGATAGACATCAGACAGACAACGGTGGAAATTTCTAGGTCAAGAATTTTTTTCAAATTGCAAATATTCATAATTTTGATATATATTTTATTCAAAATAATTGAAGTAATTCATAAATAAAGGATATGGCAAAAGTCAGGTCCCATAGATAATTTATTACATAAAGAATAAATGTTTGAATTAGATGCCATTTTCTTCTAAACACTTCTTTACTCAATTACAAAAACTATTTAGTTACATATGTACATATGACTAATGAACATGCTTATTACACACCCAGCCTATTTAATTAACTTATCCCAAAATGCATTTCAGCCTTATTGGTTATCAATTGGATGACATACAAAACAGTCTGCTTGGTGTTTTGTATGTCACCCAATTGATAAAGGCCAATAAGGCTGAAATGCATTTTGGGATAAGTTAATTAAATAGGCTGGGTGTGTAATAAGCATGTTCATTAGTCATATGTAACTAAATAGTTTTTTGTAATTTAAATAATACAGGCAAGAAGCTTTTTAATATATTATTTCTTTACTCATTTAACTTATGTTCTTTGAATTTGAATATTTCTTAATAGAGTAATACACACAGTAAAAGTATGATGTACAGGAGCAAGACACTACTAATTTGAGGTGGAGATCATATATTTTAAGTTAAATAAATTAAAATTATGATTAAAAATTGCAGCAGTGCTTTGTGACAATGTCACAATAAATAATTGCTTGTTTTATTAAATATTTATATTTGAACAACAGAATTTCCTAAAATATGAAAAATAGCTAACATTTTGATTTTAAAATATTACTGTGAGAATCTGACTCCCTTGTGAGAATTTGGAATAATAATAATTCGAATAGAGTCTTTTTTCTTTATTATTTCCGTTATTTCTCCCGTTCTCACCCCGTTGCCCGAGGAATAGACCCCGGACAGCGATAGAAACGACGCAATTCAATGACCTTCTTGACGGATGAAGTCGTCCGAGTTGACCGTGGAAGCTCTCCGGAGACCTGCAGTGTGCGGATTAATTACAAAAGGTCACCTACAAAGGTCGACCGTACGGCGAGAAGCATTACCAAAAATGGTCAGTCATCTCCCCAGGTGATGACAAATTTAATACAGTCGACCCCCCTATAAGATATAGATACGTTCCAATTTATTAGGAATCCGATTTCTTACAAGTTGTTCCAATCACAGCCCGACACGTGTCAAGTTTACGGACTACGGCTGATTGAAAGGTTTTCTTCCATAAAATTAATCGATTCTACACTAATCCGACTCAACATTTCCAAAATACGTATATTTTTTCGTAGTTTTATAGGAATCGTAATTATAGGGGGGTCGACTGTACCTATTGGTCAAGAGATGTCTCTAATGTCGTCACCCATGATGGGGGAGACAATCATAAATAAAGAGAACTGTCAAAATCCCAGATTTTCTCCCATGCTAAAAGGATATAAAAGGGGAATGATCCGACACCTCGAGAGCGATCGTCCAGGAAGAAGCAACGAAGCGGAATCTTCCAGCCCTCTCCACCTCAGGATCTACAAAGCTCATTATCGCCGCTCCATACGAGGTAAAGGACTTAGAATATTTCCCATTCTCTCAATATACGCCAGAATTACTCCTCGAAGAGGTTAACCGAAGAACCCTCTGAGCGAACTCCACCAGGAAAAACTCTACAGTCAAAGAGCGACGGAGCAAACACCTTATACGGACTGGACAGAAAGGGACATCGCTCCACATAGCCCTCCAAGGGCACTTCGCTTAGAAGACGACGATCACAGAGCGTTTTATCAACGCCCTATATGGCGAGATCGTATCCTACGAGGTAAACCCTTGCCATAAATTATCTCTCTCTCCAACGTAAGGTCTTTCTCGATCTTTAGGCTTTAGATTAGGTTAGAGTATAGAATAGATTTTTATTTTCTTTACATGCGGGTTATACTTATTGTCTTTATGTATAATTTCTTATCTGTTTATTAAATGTGTTGGTTTATTTCTACCCATGTAGCCAATTGGACACCTTGTCACGACTTCCAACTCCTCCCCATTCACTTATTTTTGCCCTCCTATGCTATCCAACAACCGAGAGCGGGTCTTTCCAACCCGTGCAGATTAAGTGGTCATTAGGGTTCATCCCAGTGGCCCCCTGCTACTCACATTACATTTACAACTAAATTATTTTAAAAAATAAATGATATAACAATTTCTTATGTTAAATGAAAAAATAAACCAAAATAATCTGAGGCAAGTTAAAATAAAATACAGAATACAATAAAATATGTAAGTTATAGTGATTTCAAAAATAAACATTACGTAGTATTTCTAAAACATATTTACAAACTATTAATGTAAATGGAATAATAATGAAAGATTAAATCTTACATTTATATTTAAACAAAGCATAAAAAATCAAAACAGAACATAGCATTTTATATATAAATATTCAAATGCTACATACAATATCCTCAATGATGTTTTTCATATAATAGTAAGTATTGTCTTAATTTTCACTAAAAACAAACAAGATTAAATAAAATGAATACAATATGCTTTATGACATACAGTATATCAATTTGGATATACTAACAGACTATTTATAAATTAAACAAACATGTATAATATGCTATAAAATGTATACTTAAATTTAAGTATTCTAACATGATAACATTAGATATCTTACACCATTGTAGTTTTATAGAAATAGCCACAAAATGAATTTCATGTCCTGGATGCATGACATGTTATGGCAAACATTGTGGTCAGTTTTTTTAACTGTCAGAACACAAATTTTGCATTATGGAATTTTTAAAAATGCCAAAATGCAAAATTCATCTTGTGACAGTTAAAAATATGACAACAACATATTCTAGCATTATCAACATACCACAATGTGTCATGGCCATTTCCTGTTTATTTTGTAGTAGTTCCGGATATATCAAGAAGCAGAATAGCTTCATTTTGGGCCAAGTTTCAAAATTCTAATATAGGTCTCTCCTCTTCTATAATCCCACCCATGCTGCAAAATATAGAATTTGTATCTTCCAAAAAAACTTTTATTTTCTTAATTGAAAAAAAAAGTATCATCTAGCCCAGGGGTCTGATCATTGATCATAAGCTTTTTGCTTGACATATACAAACTCTGGTTTGACTGGATTACTTTGTGCCATTATAGTTCCACCTTTGGAATATATGATTAAATATGTAAAATAATCAATCAAGGTCAAGTTCAATTATTTTTGCTAGAACTGTTAGACCAACACTTCAAATTATAGTTGATATCTTTCAAATAACATTTGCACTTTCTATCAATGCAGTACTCTTCACAATTGCAGATTAAAAATCCCTGCTTACTTCCAGACTATTTTTGAGACTGACTGAAGAAGTAATAAAGTGTATGTCAATGAAGTAATTCGGCAGGTGTAAATTCATTGTGAACACAGAACCGCTCAAGTAAACCCTCTCTGGTGTCCAAGTGATACAGCCCAGATGTGTTCACTAAAGTAATGTCAGATCAACACTGATAGATAACTGAGTTGCCTTTAAATTGTTCTTCAATCTATTTTGATAGAAAATCAAAATGGATCGAAGAACAGGCTTGTATTTATTACAATTTAAAGCGTGATCGCTACAATGAATATTCTTTTCCTTACAATAAAGTAAAACCAAAAAATTAAAAACATCTGATAATTAATCAGATTAACTCAATATCTTAGTTTTAATATTCTAAAACATTTTTATTACAGTAAAGTAATAAATATCAATACCAAGTAACAAAGAAAAAATAAATTTATATTTTTCTCTGTCATCGAGTAAAATATCATTAATTAATTGTATATTTTCAAATACATACATTTGGAGATATACAGTGAATTAATTATATAAATAACAATATTCATAGTTTAGAAATTTCAAGTATTAAAAAAAATATTTTTACAAAAATTCTGTTAAATCAAGTTTTATTTTTATATACAGGTAACTCTTGGTATTCACTTTCTTCTGAGTCAACATAGCTGAGCTGAAGCATGTTGATGTCTTGGGAATACTTAAATTTTTTTGGATGATTCAATAAGCAAATAATAACAAAGCTTATTTTATTCATTTATATTAAAAACATTAATCTCACATTTTAAGATGATTGTAGAACAGTTACAGACATGAATAAAAAAGCTTGTCATACAACAGTTAGTTTTATGACAAGCTTTTTTATTCATGTCCTTCAAGACTTCAGCATGGGGAGTCAGCTGCTTCCAATGCTCACTTAAACTTAAGACTGCATTTAGGAATAAACACTGAGTCTTGCAACTCCTTGCACAAACTATCAATAGTGCTGTATATTTTTGAATGCTATTAGCTGCCATTGGTAGCTTTGGCATTTTTCCTGTTTATCATCTTCCTCTTCATTGTCATGCAAACTTTTTATAACAAGCATGTCCATTTGTGGGTTCTGCGGCTTTCTGTATAGTGTTATCATGTGTATGGTGACATCAGTTTGGTAGTACAGTAGTTATCATCAGTGTCAGCTTAATGGCAACATGCACCAGAAATAAAACCAATTTTCATTACCCTTGCATCCAAAGCAGGTGTCAGTGAGAAACTTCTAGCAATGACACATTTATACAGTATAAACTATTTATAAATAACTTTAATGTATATTCACAGAACTTCAGAACTTAGTATTTTCATTTTCTTCTTCTTCTTTTGAACATTTTGACCTTGCCTATTTGTCTCACCCATCAAGTTGGTCCTGGTTTCTGTACTTTGGTTATGTCGAAATATATAAAAATTACAGACAACAGAAAGCAAGTTTTTACAAGTACACTACAAGTAATGTACTATAATTGAAATATTGTGAAAGCAATTTGCTTATATGCAAATGTTTTGCAAGCAGTCACGTGGTTGATCACAATGTTTTGCAAACACATGAATACAGAGTGTTACCTGTATATTATTTTTAAATCTTTTAATTTATTTAACTTTTACTTACTATTTAAAGAAGGAACACTTTTACTTCCTTGAATTCTACTACCTGAGACATTAAACAATCGTGGATCATAATTTTGATCATGCATAACTCTGCTTGGAATATCTCGTTCACTAAGTCTATGAGGTCCTAATTAAATTTTAATAATTAATTAATTTTAAAAAATGTATAATTATAATTAATAATAAAAATATAAATATTTATATGAAATTAAACAACAGAGTTTTTATTTTTACTATATTATCTCTATTAAATACTCAAAAGTGAAAATCCCAATCTTATTCAATTGACTTATAGTCAATTTTAAAAATTAAATTATCATTATATAAATTTATAAAGTTTGATTTAAATAATCCAATTGATAGTTAAGAAGAAATATTATTAGAATTTAACAATTTTATATAACTTAGAAAAAATTAATATAATATTTATTGTAATATATAAGTAGCAAACATTATTATTATTAAATCCTTTATATAAAAGAAAAGAAAATTTTTTGAACATTTAATATGAAATATCTAAAATTTAAATGTATAAATAATAAGCTTAAGCTTCAATTAAGATCAAGTACATACAGGTATCCCTCGTACAACATGGGTTCACTCTAATACAGTTTAAAAATTGGGGATATCCCCGTATAAAACAACTTCTGGTTTCACTCTAACATAGTTTTGGAAATCCTCTGTACAAATTTCACATTTTTAAGTGTAAACTAAACTTTGTTATTTGATATATATATATTTGTTTTTAATTCAAGTAAGCACATGTCTTGTCTCAAAAATAGATTTTAGAATATTGAAATTTTCAAATTATTTTGCAATTCTCATCAGGTTTACTTTAATGAAAACTGATAGGACAAGAAAGAAAAAAATTGCACTAACTTTCCTATTAACCAAGTGTCATTGCTTTCAGACTTTAGCTTTTAAGACCATCACTGTGTTTTCTTTTTATGGATTAATCTTTATATTTAGTAAACTTTAAACATTTTTAGGTAAGTGTAAACATTTTTTTAACCGTAAGCAATCATTTATAAAATGACAAACAAAATACAATAGTATCTTGGTACTCGAACAATTCAATATTTGAACACAAATTCTGGATAAAAGTCGCTCAGTACTCAACTTCACAAATGTAATCTGCTAGAACAAATTTTCCATTAATAACATATTTTTATTTTGTTGTCCATAAGAATTTTTTATGTTAAAAATAAAAAATATGAAAATCAGCAAAAAAAAGTTGAAATGACGATGATACTCTGTTAAAAGTAAACACTGTTATTTAACTAAAATTAATATTAATGCATAATACAGTACTTTTAATAGTGATTGTTAATTAATTATTGACCAGAAATAAAAGTATTGATTGCTTTAATAAACATGTTTTTCTTAGTAATAAAAAAGAATAGTATACTTTTATTAACTTCTGGAGCATCATCTTATGGTTTACATTAGTTTTTTGTTTTGTATAGCATGAATTCATGTAACATGCCACTTTTTCGGAATGTATCTACCATGTTTTACAAGGGATAACTGTATTCAACTTCTATTTTAACAATAAAAAATAAAATAAAACTTCTCTTCTATAGACACAATCTTTATTTTAATTCATTTCATTCAATTATGTAGCAAAAAAATTAAATGAATCAATCTAATTGATTTTAAAAATCTTAATTATTCTTATTATTACAATTTTCATGAGATAGCAATGATTTTTTATGATAAAGGTAAAATTGCTATGTTAATTTTAAATTAGTTTAAAAATAGCAAGGTTTTTTTACTTTAGCACTTTCAGTTGTTCTGTTATTGTAGTGAAAGAGTATGTAACTCAAAATATATTTATTTCTCACATAAATAAATAAAATGTAATGCTATATTGCAATACAAAAACAATTTTTATTAGCATAACTAATGACTGGGATTTTTGTATAGATCACTTATACAAACCTGTTCATTGTTCAAATGGCATTTCAGAATTGGAAAATATATATAATTACCATAAATTTTTCTATTCTCAGTAACTTGTTAGATTTCATATATTCTATAAAATAATAAAATTTGCATGTATGATTTGAGACAGATCTGTGCTATATATTACAGGATTAAAATGTATTCATTTTTAAAGATAAAGCATGTATTTTGTGATTTTTGAATATAAGATAAGTGATAAGTCTATTAAGTTTTAAATCTGACTTAAATTTTAAAATAAATATAAAGTTTTATACGAATATAAAAATAATAATACATTCCATTAAGAAATTCTTTACTCTTCAAATTCTTGTAAAGTCTAAATAAGATAATTTTGTTTTTATCAAAATTGTTTAGAATCTAATGAAATTAATTTGTTTTCTTAATAGATAAAAAGTGTGTTTAAATCAAAATTAATGGGAAACCAAAAACAACAATTATCAGTAAATCTCTATGAAAAATTATATCAATATGCTTTGATTTATCCAAAATATTTAAATGTTGCTTTTTCCATTGGAAGTTAATGCTAGGAGTTACAATAAGAGTCAGAAAAAATAAGTGAATAACAGAGACAGACAAGAAGACACAAGTAAAATATATCATGGAGAAAATAAGAGAGAACAAACAACAACAGGTAGAACACATTGGAAAAAATAATGGAGAATAGAGAGAGGGGGACAGACACTCTGGAAAGATGGTGGAATGACATAGAAGACTCAGATAGCAATGGATAGCACTGACAAAAGAAAGGATGCACTAATGAAGTTTATATTATGCAATAGGTAATAACAGCTCATGGAGTTATTATCTACTGCATAACAATGTTAATGTGACATTTTAATTGGTAGAACTCTCTGTACCCCAGTATTGAATGCAACAATTAGACATAATATTTAGTGAAATGAGTTTTGTTTTTCCAATGTGAAAATGAATATTTAACAAGATCTGAATTTTACTAGTAACAGATATATAAATCAGAATCTTATTAGCTGTTTTAAAATATATTTACATTTTAGATGAATTTTAATAATAACATCTAAAATTTGAAATAAGAAAATTGCATTATCTTTAATTAATTAAATTCAAAATACTGTATATTTCTAATTTTCAAACTATCTCAAAGTTTTTTAAATATTCACTTCTAATATTTATTTTTTTATTTATAATTCAGCAAAGTACATTGTTTTTATAACACCTGCTTACAACTGTTATACTGGTTGCTCTTCAAATATATCATGTTCTTCAATTTCAGATTACATTTATAATTTTATAATGATAATTATAACAATATCAGTAGAATAACAAGGCATTGCTGTATTCTGCATAGGTATATTTCTAATACTAACTTATTATTTTAAATTAAAAAATATCAAATTTTAGTATTTTCCATATTTTATAGTTATTATAAATAAATTGTTAAACAATTTTCAATGACCCTTACCTTGATAATGAATGACTATTTTGTTGTTGATACATGCTAATATTTTGATAATGTCTTTCTTCTTGAATTAATTGTTGTGCTTGTTGCGACTGATGATGTAAATTTGGTTGTGATCCAGGTCGACCTACAGGTCCAGGAGTTGCACTGTAAGCTGGTGGTGGATGTCNAAATTATAAATTGAAACTTTTTAAATTAGAAATTTTAAATTTAGCATGCAAAGCACAGAAATAGAAGAAAAAGCAGTGCACATATATAAAAGATTATGGGTTAATTGAGGTTATACATACTATTTAATTTTGCAGAAGAATTGACGTTAGTCATGGAAGCAGAAACAAGCTGAGATGTTATATCTCTTGTCTCATTCTCTTCTTTTGGTGAATCTATAAAACCTTCAAGGCTTGAATGATATGATTTTTGTTTAATTTCTTGTTTTTCTTGAAATGTGTAAGATGTTTGTTTTCGCAAAGGCTTTGAAACATTCCTTGTTAAATTATTTGATTCTCTATTTTCTGCCTTTGACATATCTTGTATGAATTGAACATTAGATGTTGCTGTCCATAATGATGAAAGTGTTCCATGATGGCACATATAGCAAGTACATTCGGCCAAAGAAGGTATTTCCATACTGTTTGGTATTGTATTTAACATGGATAATCTGAATAATGATTGTTGGTATGCTTGATAATTCCTTTCACATAATTTGCAAAAAGAAACTTCGTAAGGAATTCTAGCATTTCTTTGGCGAAATTTTAAATTTCGTTGTAATCGGCAAGTGGGACAGCATTCTTCACAAGAACAACTTCTAGGATTAGAACCAATAGATTCATCACTCCAGGGACGTCCAGTGATCAATTCCCAACGACAGGATGGGCAACACTGAGGACAAGAGCACCTGTTAGGATGTTCTAGAAGTGATTCATCACTTTTTGGTCTGTCTTTAGGAATTTCATCAATAGTCTTTTGTGCTGAACAGCTATGTATTAGTAAAGAATTTTTTAAAGGACCTTTTAAATATGAAAATGGAGTTTGCTGATTAATTATTATTCCCTTCTTTTGTTTGGAATGACCTGCAGATCTATCAAGGGTTTGCACAGCTTCCCATTGTCTAGGAGAAACAGCAAAAGCTGTTGAAGAATTTGTCTTATGAATCGTTGGATTAACTCTTTCTAAGCGAGATGCAGAATAATAAGAAAAACAAGATGCTTGCTGAAGAGTATATTGCTGAAGATTAGGAACAGGATGAGAAAAACTTGTAGTTAGTTGTTTATCTTGAATCATGTAAGGAGGAGGAGCAGATCCTTTATAGAAAATGTTATCAATTTTAAATAATAGGAAAGAATGAAAGGAAAAAAGAGCTTAATATATTAGTGCTGATAGACAGTATATGAACCAAAAATTTTAATAAATAAAAACAACTGATAATTTTAATTGCTATTATTAAACTTTAAATAAATTTTGTTGAAATGCTTTTAAAATAAATGCACAAATTTTAATATAAAGGATAAATATGTGTAAACAAAAATTATTATTATTATTATTGTCCATTTAATATGCAATTTATATTTAAAATTTTTTTATAAATTAACAATTAATTAAGCACCTAGCATATATTCAAATAAAAAAAAACAGTCAGCTAGTATTAAAAAATGAAAAACAATTATAATAAAAAGCAAATATGAAGCAACAGCCAACTAGCAATACAATATAGAAAAAAGTATGATTGCATTAAATGAATATTTTGTATATAGAACATTAAAAATATTTGATACATTTAAAATATTTTAGGAAAATTTATGACGACAATACCAACAACTCCAAGAATTAACTCTTTTGTTAATAATCTTTTTGGTTAAATTATTTTAAAATTCCTATTTTTTTTATATTTTATAATTTGTCAAAGCCACATTTATATATTACAGACCAGTGATGACAAATCTTTTTCCGAAGATCGGTCAAAATTGAATTCAAAATTTATTAACTCCAAATTGTATATCACTCTAATAATTTAACACTTTTCAATCTGTATGACATGTAACAATAAATTCTATATAAATGTAAAGATGATGATAATTGATTATAACAGAAATAAATATTTTGTTTAATGGAAAATCATCTTTTGTTTATTTGATGATAACTAACTGACGTTCATAATTAGTTGCTTTTAAGGCTTTCCTCAATAGTTTTAGGATGCACTTTCATACTAACTTACATACAAAGAATTTTGAAATCTAACAAATATATTTTTATAATTTATAAAAATCTAATGCTTTCTAAACATTTAATTGAAATTGTTGCATGGGTCACATTTTCCGTTACTGTTATAGACTTTGTTGCATCTGTTAAATTTCTAGTTATTTTAATTAAATACAGTCAAACCTGTCTATAACAAAACCCCAAGGGACTGAACAACTCTTCCATAATAGACAAGTTTCCACTATATACAGGTTCCATTATAAACAGGTTTGACTGTAATAATAACTGATACTCTCAACATTTTAAAAATGTTTTTGAATTCTATTCTCAACTTGCACTTTCACGTTATTTAGTATATTAATTATATTTATAAATAAATATATAATTTAACTTATTTCCAAATATATTAAACTTACAAAAACATATGAAAAAATTTTAAAGTTACAATATTATATTGATTAAAATGCCTAAATTTTAAAGATATAATACAGTCGACCCCCCTATAACACTGGTTCCTATAGTTCGGATTCCTATATCATGGCGAAAAAACTGCGACAGTATTCGTACAAACATGCTAAAAAACCTCCTATAATTCGGTAAAATGTCATCGCCAACTCGTGTCGTGACAGGATTGCACAACCATTGAGTTTAAACAAGCAGCGGACCTACCAAAAACCATTTATTATTTAACGTCCATAAAAATTATATTTATATTAATGATGTCGCTAAAGTTCAGTGAATTTTTCGCAAAAAAAATAATTTATCAGGAAGCACGTGAGTGCCATTCGATGACAATCTCCACGACGAAAACAAGCTTAAGCAACAGCGTAGTCAAATGGTGCACACTCAGTAAGTAATCCTACAATTTTTTGTTTATAGCATAGTTTATATGGATTATTCCCAAAAAATTATACGTATTTTTGGAAATGTTGAGTCAAATTAGTCTAGAATCGATTAATTTTATGGAAGAAACCTTTCAAACAGCTGTAGTCCGTAAACTGCATACGTGCTGGGCTGTGATTGGCTGGACTCCTAGAAGCTGGATTCATAAAAACAGGAGCGTATCTACCGTGTTATAGGGGGGTCGACTGTATAAAACTTTATTATATATAGTTTCAAATATACAGAACTGAAGTCATTCAAAACTATTTTACAATTTGAATTTTACAAATTCTTTTATTTTAATAAACACATTTTATTTCACAGATATAACAAATGTGCCCAGTGTTGCCCAAGTATAAAGTAATAAGGACAAACATTAAAACCATATTAAAAGCTTGGAGTTAACAGTTAGTTTAGCAGGCTACCAAATCCAGGTGATGATCCTATACTCTAAGATTATCATTATGAATATATATGATTCATAAACCACACAGTATTTTCACTAATTATTAGGTAATGCTTACTTATATAATGCATTAAACTTAATTTATCACAAAGTGACAAAGCTATGATATCAGAGATTGTCTGTCCTGGTTTCATGATAGGTTCTGTATTTTCTGCAGGGTTTGAAAGTATCTGAAAAATTTGATTCAGATTGGTCAAAGGTTTAGAAGTGTATAGGAAACATATTAAATACAACAGATATTCTTTCATTTTTATTTAGAAACAAAACATTTCAATAACATTTCTAAAACTAAGATATTTTGGTTCTTTGACTGTGGGTTTGTTTTTGTAAAAAAAAATTACTAAAATAAAAAAGAAATTGACCAATTAAGAGCCAATAAATAACCAAAACACAAATTATATGTAACACTAGTGGATTAGTATTATATATATACAAACTGATGACACTGAGTCAGTGGCATGTCTCTGAGTAAAATCATATTTAAAAAAGGCATTTTTCTATAAAATCAACTATTTGATTTTATAGAAAAATGCCTTTTTTAAATATGATTTTTCTAAAAGAATAATCATATTTAAAAAAGTATTAAAAGAATTTTAAAAGTATTAAAAGAATTTCTATCTTCAGTTAAATTTGTTATCCAATAATTTCCAATTTAATTAAATATTTCTTCTGCAAAGTCTACTTCCTATATAACTTTTATATCATGTAAAATAAATTCTAATAAAATAATAAAATGATTTCTTCCAAAGCACAAATCAAAATCCTACTTAACTAACAGAAATTGGACGATTCACATATCAATCAACATTAGAAGTAAACTTATCAAATCATTTGTTAGCACCTCTAACAGTTTTCTAATTTTACAATTGAATTTATAATTACACTTATAAATTATATACATAAAATTATATTAGAATATTAGAATGAGAGAGATCAAATAATAACCTCATTATACAGATTATTATAGATAGGAGCATACCATTCCATCACACAGGATAAATGGCAGATGACCAGGTGAGAAAACATTGAAACATTGTTTAAAAGTTGTATTTAGACTGACTGGATGGCCAAGACTGTTACTGATAGCTATGTAATCAATACAAAGATACCATATTTTACAGCATATAAGATGTCCCCCATTTCAGCACAGTATATTTAAAGAAAAAAATATTTAGTGTATTTAATTAAGCTATCCCATACCTTTGGCACTCGGCCCCAAAGTTTCTTTTATTGTACTCTGGTTTAAAAAGATGTAAGCTTAGAATGCACACTTTTATTTATCAGGAAAAAAAATTAAAAAATTGACAACTTATTGCTCTGAGGGACATAAGATTAAACCTTCAGAATTTCAGAAATTTTCATGAGATATGCTGAACCCACATTGGGCTTGAAGTGGCTACATGTAGAGAATAGTGAAACTGTTGTGAAAGTTTTGGCTAAATGATGAAATCATTATGAATCCACAAAGAGCTAAAGAAACAGAAGAAGAAAAACATCATGAAGTGATTGAAGCCACACAATACTCCTGTTATGAGGCAACTGAACACATCAAAAATTTGTTAAATTTGCAGAAATAAACTTGCATTACAATATATCCAGAGACAAATCGCCATGCTGTGCTGAACAACTTCTAAAATAAAACACATCATAACATGTTTGAAAGGATCTAAAAATGAATTTTGTTGGGACACCATCTTGTGGTGATATAAGAGAAAACATCAATGACTCAATATGAACAGTAGTAGTAGTTCCATTCAATGCTGTCTCCAAAAAAAAAACTCATACACAGTGTAATTCAGTAAATTATACTTAGTCTACACTGTATTGTGTTGAACAAAAACAAACATTGTTTCCTTATAGAAAGAGTTAGTATATATGTTGTGTGTTCAGTAATGTGCATAACTAATGTATTTTCTTTTCCACTGATTAATACAAGGACAGCACACCTGAAAATAGGTTTTTCATACTCAAGCATGTGTAGTATGTCTAAATCATATGTACACATTAAATGTCTGTACAATTATTATATGCACGAATTATTGTAAATGTTGATTTTGTGCAGTAACATGTTCAATAAAGTTTATGTAGGTTTGCAGTTTTTGTAGCTTATTAAGTGTTTGTTTTTGATGAATTTAAATCATCATCTTCAGGTTAAGTTACAATAGAATGTAAAGATGAAGCTAAAATGTAATTTTTGAAATGGAAAGAACTACAGTTCCATTGGTAGAAAAGAGCATGTCATCAATGATGTCAACTCGACTGGCAAATTTTATTAATGCAACAATTATTTAAAAAGTGTATTTCAAATAAGGATTTCCAGTCTAGAAAAGTTTCTATAAAAGTGTACTCACTGTTTCAATTCTTCTTGTATCTATTATACTCACTCTAAAAACTTAATATAATACTTCATTTTCCTAAATATATTTGATATATATTCTTATCCACTGAACTATGCCATTCTATAGTAATTTTTCACAATAACTTATTCATTATCATGTTTTTATTGTTCTTCCTTTTTTAACACTTGTACAATTTTTCTTGTAATAACATAATAGATAAATACAATAAATAAAAATTACTTACTCAAAAAATTAAAAAATGCATTAAAAAATAATAATAATAAATAAATAACTATTATCTGTCAATAAACAAAACAAATGTAGCTTTTATAATATTAAACAAGTACAATTAATATTGTAGAAGTGCTTTCAAAAAACATTAAATGCTGAAATTATATGAGTAATTTCTAGTAAAGCTGAATATCCAGCATTAAGTATGTTTCATAGGAAAGAAGAATTAATATTTTTAATTTTAGTGTTATTATTATTATTATTATTTTGGAAAATTTTTATTTTGTTTGTTTGTATGACTTTTTTCTTATTTTTTCATTTCATTTTATTTTTAAAATCATTTCATATAAAATAATAAGAAATAAATTTATTTTAAACTATTTGTTTCAACTAATCTTCATTAATTTTTTTATTCAGTTATGTAATAAAAATATAATCATTTACATTTTGTCAATTTATTAATTCACTTTAAAATAAAAATTATTCACCAGAATTTTGCATTTGTTTTTATAAATTTTTCACATACAAATATATTTACTGATTCTTTAAATATACTAATTAATATTGTTAAGAATAAAAAAATTATTTAAACAAATAAATAGTTCTAATAAATTTCTCTTTCAAAATCATTCATTTTTCTTCATGTACTGATGACTATATTAAATTTTAGATAAATTTATTATATTAAGTACCATGTATTTCTCTGAAATATCTAATTATTCTATTTATAAATATTAATATAACAATCTTATTCTTCCAGCCCAATTATTTAATACAATAACAAACATTTTTGGGCATATTCACTGTCCAACTTCAGGCTAAGGTTCTTTACTTCATACAGTTACATTCTATTTTTAGAAACAGTTTCATGATGTACAAAAACATTTAATTATGGAATTTAATTCAAATTTACAAAATTAATACAGTAAAATCTAGTTTTAACAGACTTTGGACTAAATGGATAAAATTTCTGATCCATATATCATATGTGAAAATTAACATCCTGTTAATTTTAAAATGCTTTTTATATGTAATTAAATTAACAGGTTTTTTTTCAAATCCAAGAGTCACTTCTCATAAAGTGTATTTTCCAAACAATGTTTGTTTATTTATTTATTTTGATTTAGATTGTATATTTGTTTATTACGGTCTCGTATCAATGGTGAGTACATAAGCAATAATACATATAGAAAACTTTTCTATGAAATTAAACTTCCTATACATACCTAATTTTAATTATAAAAACTTTCCTACATAAGTAAAACAGATAGACTAACTAATTTGTCAATTTTTAACACATACATTTGTGAAATCAACTTTATTATATAATAACAGACTTTTGGCTGTACACAGACACCCCATTGCCTGAATTAGTCCAGTAAATTGAGGTTTTATTGTATGCGTAAAATAATTATCTGCAAGGAGAATATATTACAATAACCCCAAACTGTCAATGGAAAAGACCAAGCATAACTGTNAAGCAAAACATTTAATAACCTGAATAATTAACTTACTTTTCTTGAGAAATTCCAACCAAAGATTGGCCGTCTACTTTTAATAACTGATCTCCAGCTTGTAATCTTCCATCCTATTATTAAATTTTTTGTTTAAATAAAACATTTAATAATAAATTAAAATTTTTTAATACTTAATACTTAATTTGTAAGAAATAAATAATCATAATACATGAAAAATATCTCAAATTAAATAAGATTTATTAATCACATAAATAAAACTATTCATACAAATTACAGTTCAAAACACTACAAATTTTAAAAAGCCAGTAAAATTGATTAAAAGCAAATCTGATAAACATTCTCAGAATTTTCCAATTTCATCTTTCAGATTTGTCAATAACAAAACAAAAGAACATTCTAATGAATTCACTTAAAACAGAATATTTCATTTTGTCATTATTGGATCTGAAGATGAAATTGGAAAAGTTCCAAAAACATTTAGACTGCTTTTAAGCACTTTTCAGTCTTCTTAAAATTTGTTGAGTGTTTTGTTTAACTGTAATGGAGCTATCTCGCTAGTTAAATCATATTCATACATAAATAGATACATAGCTATATATGTGTTGTTATTTTTTATTTATTTTTCTAACTAGAAAACTCTACAATAGTGGTTAAAATTAATTAATCATGGATTTTTTTGGATTCTGAAAAATTTTTATAGTACTACTAATGGCTCTGTTCTTGACCAAAGTCTTTCATATCACAAAGTGACTATCAGATCTCCCAAAAAGTTCTGGCATTTTTATTGTATCATAAAACATACCAAAAACAATAGAAATAAATTAGTCAAAGTAACTATCCCACAATGAATTACCTTTTTATAATGAGATATAAATTTATGTATACCATTCATGGCTCTGAAGTGTGTCCCTCATTACTCATACAACTTGAGACCTGGCATTATTTTGAAGGAATATGATGCATTTGCAATTTACTAAATTTACTAACATAAACTGCTTTTTTTAGCAATGCTTCATGTAAGTAGCACATATCTGCTGCAATAGTTTGGTCAGATTGTAACAGCTCATAGTGGACCATTCTAGCTGCAGTCCACTATAAACACAGAAGAATCTTCTGCAGATGGATATTGTGCTTTTAGACCCATGACAATGCCTCACTTCTTGAAAACCAATGCCAATATTATATATAGTTATTGTGGAATATTCATTTTTCCTCACATATTAACACATGGTCTAAAAATGGCTTCATTTTGTTACAGGAAAACAATTCTAAGTAAATATTCAGCTACCATTCCTTTTTGGCAGGAGTCAATTCATATGAAACCCTTTCCAAGTTTATATACAGTAAATGTAAGCTAATAGCTTCATTGCTTATATTGAATCTCTGAGATAGTGTCTGGCAAATTTGTATTATCACAGATTTTTCCCAGAGTTCAATTTGTCATTATCAATAGTGGAGGGCTGGTCTTCCCGGAAAGCATCTTTGAGTTGCTCATCACCAGAAGAAAATTTTCTGAACCATTGCCAAGTTATGCAAACACTATATGAGCATTCCCCAGAAGTCAATCATATCTTTTTAACTGCTTCTATTGCATTTAAAAAGTTTGAACTCTTAGAGCCTACAGGCATAAATAATTCAGATTGAAAATTTCACGGGATTTGCACTCAATATTATATTATCTATGTAGTCTCTCACTCTATATGTATTTTATTAAGTTTTATCCATTATACAAGCACCTATCAATTTTATTTTTATTTTACATGAGTTTAATTTGAAAAGCCAAAAAAATTCAGCAATGAGTTGCATAACTTTCTTGGCTATTATGAGATCTTATTTAGAAAATAACTTTTATAATTTTAATTACAGTATAATTTAATAAAATTGTGTGTGACATCATCTGTTACTAGATTTTGTTATAAATTTTTTATTATTAATTTAATTAATATAAAATGGCAAAAAGCTTCATTTTGAGGGTAGGATGAGTTTTATAAAGAAGTATAAATGTTAATAAGTAAAATCATCATTAAGTCTGACCCTACTGGAGATACACACAACCCCCTTTATCTCCCCACCCCTCAACCTTTCATCACCAGAATTGATGGAATCAATGCCCCCTCATATACAAGCCACCATGCCAAATTTTGTTACTTAATCTTTACCCCAACCTGAGATATTAAACAAAATAGATGCCAACGCACACACACATGGATTTTTTTTTTTTTTTTACTTTTTTGGTTTCAGGAGATCTCAAAATGTGAATATTCACAAAAAACTGGGAGGGTCAAATCTGATACAAATCCAATACATTCCTGTTATGTATACATAACAGCTGGGAATACACAAAAAGCTTTTTTTGGAGATCTTATATATAAGCAAAACATTTAATAACCTGAATAATTAACTTACTTTTCTTGAGAAATTCCAACCAAAGATTGGCCGTCTACTTTTAATAACTGATCTCCAGCTTGTAATCTTCCATCCTATTATTAAATTTTTTGTTTAAATAAAACATTTAATAATAAATTAAAATTTTTTAATACTTAATACTTAATTTGTAAGAAATAAATAATCATAATACATGAAAAATATCTCAAATTAAATAAGATTTATTAATCACATAAATAAAACTATTCATACAAATTACAGTTCAAAACACTACAAATTTTAAAAAGCCAGTAAAATTGATTAAAAGCAAATCTGATAAACATTCTCAGAATTTTCCAATTTCATCTTTCAGATTTGTCAATAACAAAACAAAAGAACATTCTAATGAATTCACTTAAAACAGAATATTTCATTTTGTCATTATTGGATCTGAAGATGAAATTGGAAAAGTTCCAAAAACATTTAGACTGCTTTTAAGCACTTTTCAGTCTTCTTAAAATTTGTTGAGTGTTTTGTTTAACTGTAATGGAGATATCTCGCTAGTTAAATCATATTCATACATAAATAGATACATAGCTATATATGTGTTGTTATTTTTTATTTATTTTTCTAACTAGAAAACTCTACAATAGTGGTTAAAATTAATTAATCATGGATTTTTTTGGATTCTGAAAAATTTTTATAGTACTACTAATGGCTCTGTTCTTGACCATAGTCTTTCATATCACAAAGTGATAAACTATAATATGAATATGCAATACACACATTTTGTTGTTATTTACAATAAATTATTATAAACTACATTACATTTTAGCTTTACATATATAATTAAATAATTGTAAATAGTATAAAAACTAATCAATAGTGAAACCAAAAAAAGATATAATTTAAAGATTTTTATTACTACTGCTTTATTCCAAAACCTTACATCAAATGGTGGATTTTTGAACACCATCTGTTTATTTTAAAAATAAACAGATGGTGTTCAAAAATCCACCATTTGATGGCATATTTTATAGACACCAAGAATTAAAACTTTGATGTCTCTTGATGAATAAAATATTTTAGAATTTCAGGTTTTTCTATCATAATCATCTCAATGTCTTTTTTTCATTTTTCTGTCAGAAGTATACTTCAATCAATATTTTATGTAAGTCAGTGAACCTAATATATATGTAGAAGTTTCTTTAGTAAACAAATATTATGTAATATAATTTGGATTTTGTATCAGCTCACTGTTTGTTTTGTATACAAAAGATAGAAATTAATCATTTCTGTTCTTTATATATATTAACAGGTTAATTGTTAAAAGAATATAGAATGAAAAAGAAAATGACACCTTGAAAAAAAGAATATTTTAAAGCCTGTTTCTATTTTGGCTTAAAACAATTTTAGCTTCTTCTTTCAAGCCAGAATGTGTTTTATTCATGACATTATTACTAGATTTGGCTTTAATCAGTCAACAGTAGTAAGATTATGAAAACTAAAAAAAACTGTTAAAAGAAAGAGTTGGAAACAAAAAGAGTTGTTTTGTATTGTATCATAAATTAGACTTTTAAAAAGACTTCTTCACACATAATATATGACTTACATCTAAATTATATGTATTCTTTATTGATTTTTCAGAAAATTTATAAATTCTTCATTATAATTCCCATTATAATAAATAAGAATGTATCTCTATCATTCTTATTGTCAGTGAACAGTCTAAATTCTATTCAAGGACATAAATTTTTCTTACTTAGCCATTTAAAAGATTTCCCATTATCTTATTTTCTTAAACAAAATTGAAATTAGATTGTATCTAACACTTCACATTTAATTACTTATTCAACCATAACTGTAGATGGGCTTTTAATAATAAAATGGTATTTATCTTTTGTATCTCTGATATACTCTTTATCATTCTTATCTCATGCTTCCTAGCCCATTTCTAGCATTAATTGTATCCAATTTCTCATTATGTCCACTTGGTTGAGTTTGTACATAATTTTTAGATTTCAAAGATTTCTATATCTAATTTCTTATTATACTATTGACATTTTTTAATATCTGAAAAAATCATACGATTTCATCTTACAACTATTTGTCAGTCTTTCCAACCTTTCTTCTGCAATCTTTCATCCTGACTTCCAATCATCATCTTTTATCACTATCCCCAATTACACTTAAGAATTTTCTTCAAAAAGTGTTAATTTTTTGCATTTTCTTATTATTTCTAATTTTCTCTTAACTTTATTTAATTAATTATTTCAAACAAGCAATAGTTTATTCTGTGTTGCATCTATTTTATAAGTTGCTATTAAATACACACTCTTATAAGTACTGTACAAGGCTCTTTAAAAATCACCCATATGATATTATTATTCAATCATTAAATTTCAGATATGCTAATTTAGGCATTTTTTTATCATTTGATTTTAGATAACTGATTGTTTTAAACAAATTTCAGAATACTAAGATCTATCTAGACCAGGGATTCTTAACCTTTTTTGATCCATGGACCTCTTGGAATAATGTTTTTAACACATAAAATACAATTACAAAAGAAACCAATTATACAGAAATACTTTTATTAAAATAAAAAATATATTATATAGTAATATATGTGCTTCTTTCTTAACACAATAATTAACAATTTCACAAAATAACACAAAATTAAGATAATAAGTTGAGTTTACTCTTCCAAGCCATGGATTCCTGAAAACTTTCTATGGACCTCTATGTAAGAACCACTGGTCTAGACTTTTCAGACAATCAATCATATATTACATTCATTGTTGTCAATACTTTCATCAACAGGACAACATTCTGTCAAGCAGTTCATGATGTGATGGACAAGTTTTAGGATGTATGTAACCATCCAAAAAATCAATTGGTCACATCTAACCTAAATGTTAATCCTGTCAAGAATTCTTGAAATAAACTTGTTTGTTAAATGCATTAAAAAAACTGCTCAAAAGGGCAAGCTAAATTGATCACTGCTTTAAAAGAAAAATGACAAAAAAATTTTGAAGGTACTTAATAAACTAATAAGAGTACTTTAAAGAGAATGGAGATTGTGATAATAAGATAAAGGTTTTAACATTTGCTACTAATTTTCCAGTTAATATTAAAAAAGTTTATTTTTGTGATCAGCAAATATTAACAGCATTCATATTTTCTAATTACTAAATGTTGGCTTATGTTTTTTTATTTTTCTCTATGTATATAAAAGCAAAACATTTAATAACCTGAATAATTAACTTACTTTTCTTGAGAAATTCCAACCAAAGATTGGCCGTCTACTTTTAATAACTGATCTCCAGCTTGTAATCTTCCATCCTATTATTAAATTTTTTGTTTAAATAAAACATTTAATAATAAATTAAAATTTTTTAATACTTAATACTTAATTNCAATTTAAAAAATATTTCAAAAATCTTTATTCAAAATCCTATGTGAGCATAAATTAATTAATCATTTTTCATCTTTCTTTCGTTTGTTTTTTAAAGACAATCACTTAAAAAAAATTAACGAGTCAATTATCTTCATATCATTAGGGTCATCATCCCTTCAAAATGAATAAAGATTAATGTGTAAAAGCTAATATCTCAGCGAGCCATGAAAATGAATTAGTGTTTTCTATTGTTATTATGGGAAGTATAGAAAAAAGAAGTGTCAATAATAAAAGCTCCTTTAACACAATGGTATCTGATAACAAAAATTTTGACCTTTCATAACATGAAAAAACATAAATGATAAATTATACACAATGTAAAATTTTCAATTTTTTTTATAACAGTGCCTACAATAAAAGCTTTAAAAGTGAAAAATGAACTTAAATTAAATCATTTTTTATTTCTTTTAATCTTATTTTGAGACTAGAGTAAAAGATAGTGTCATGAGAAAAATACTGTAATTATAAAATTAATCCAACAGCAGCATGCTTAGTTAATAATTTTTGATTGTGAAAAAAATTATTATTTGTTTTTAAACATATGCATTAGAAGAGTGAAAATAATATATTTAATATCCTAAAGCCTTTTATTATATTGAAAAATAAATATGAAATTAAAACTGAAATATTTAAAATTTCCAGATGAAAAAATAAACTGATATTAATTAATTATTACAACCATCATAAAAATAAAATTAAATAAATTTGATTGAAATAAGGCTTACCAAATCTGCAGCTCCACCTTTTACCACTGATTTAACGTAAATACCCAATTTATCTTGATCAACTCCCTAAGTAAAAAAAACACACATCATATAATTATTTAGTAAATGTCATAATTTATATATTTTAAAATTTAATTGCATAATTATAATTTAGTAAAATCAATGTGAACGTTACTCTTAATGATGTAAGTGAATAATACAGTATATACTTTAGTAGGATCATGTTTTATGTAGGATTGATATATGTTGATTCATGTTTTCACAGATGGCAAATGGTTAGGTTAATCTACTCTAGTGCACTGATTTAACTCTTAATTAAGATATAAAATCATGCTTCTCTAGCTTCTTACATTCCAAACACAAATAACTACTGAATGATATTCTCTGGCTTACATATATTTTTCTCAGATAAAGTACTTGATATGGTAGAATAAAATTTTGCTCTGTACATTCAAAAACATTAGACTAAAATGTTATTCATTATACCAAAAACATAAAACATATTTTAAATGTTTTATGTAATATTTGTTTTTTATTAATTGTAAAAGGTTGCAAGTGTCTAGTCAATCATCTGGGGTTACTTGAGGTGGAGCACAACTAAGTGGAATTTTGTTTTACATGGTACTTACTGACATGCAATCCTTTCATGAAAAAAGACAATCTATATTTTTATTATTAATAATAAACTGCAAACTTAATGATTTATCATTAAGTTTCATTATTATTAAATCACAACAATAAATATTGTTTTTCTTCAATACTCTACAAACTGTCAATACACAGGCAATGATGAAAATGGTCAAAGATCTATGATAATTTGAAACAGCATAGCTAAGTTAGTAAATTATTTCAGTTAATGCTGCAAAATTTGCAACAAGTATAGATTATACAAGCTATATATTGATTATATAAACAGCTAAGCAGTGTTATATATATATATATATGTGTGTGTGTGTGTGTGTGTGTGTTAAATGATTAGAATGCTTTCTCCATCTCTAATATCAAATTTTAATAAATTAATGTTTAATAATATACTGTATATTCTACAATGTAAAATTGTTTGCTTTTTTTCATTACACCCATAACAAAAACTTGCCAGTTGGAAGAATGAATAAAACTCTCTCTTTTATATATAGCACATCCATATTACAACCAAAGCAACAGTTTTCAATTCAAATTCAGTATACCTTGAAAACAGACTATTCCAAAGCAAATAGCAAATAAACAATTTATACTTTCCAACTCATCTAAACATTTCTTTTGGAATATTTCTGAGGAAAGTTTATAACTTAGTTTTAAATTGTAATTAATTAATCAATCGAAATAAAATTATGACAAAATTACGTAATTTTGATTTAATATAATATACAGTCATCTTATAAAAGTATACAACTACATTTCTTTTTTAAATTACACAAATGCACATTCTGTTAAATTGCATATTAAATTCATATATGTTTTGAAGTTTTGATCTCATTAAGGTCAAATGAAATACAAAAAGATTGTCTGTTTACATTCTGAATTAACAAATTTTCTAAAACTGAATAATTATATTACATCAGCATACCATACGCATATGCAAGTTTTACATAAGTTCAAAAGTCATGATTAGAATTTGAATGCACAAGGACAACTCCATTACAGTATGAAAGAGCTGGGAAAAAAATTGGGCGTGTACTTTTCATAGTTTCTTATTTTAGCCTAAGGGCTAAAAAAGACAATCTCTTGCAAAATTTTGAGTAATAGTTTTATGTATGTGTGTGTGTGTATATATATATATATATATGTCATGTGTTTCATTCTACTACAAAAAATATTTACTAATTTTTTCAATATTTTACAATACATTGGCCACTTTCATAAAATAATTACATTATTATCATTTTATTATTTATTTCTAGCTTAGTTTATTATTATTATCATTATCATTATTTACTTTTAAATTTTGTTTATCTATTTCATTATTAATATCCATTCAGAAAATTCCTATTAAATCATAATCATTTTGTTATGATAAGTACAATATTCAGGGCCATGTAAAAATATGAGAGGTCCATGTGCAAGAGAGTCAGGGACTCATTTGCCTATATCAAGACAAGAATAACATATAAATACATTAAATATATTTAAAATTTGATCTTTAATTATTGATTGAACAGTGCAATCCTTATATTTTTATTCTGTTTACTTTTTTCAAAGTTTATTCCATATCAGTAAGACATTTCCAACACACTTTCCATTTGCACAATCCTGGCAATATCAATAATTGATACTTAAAATGTTAACACAATTTAGAAATAGTTTAATAAATCTATAAAAAAAAGAAGTCCAATTCAAAACATAAAATAACCAGTTGACACTGTTCGAGTATTATAAATAAATCTAAAGACTGCACTAAAAGACACTTATTTTCTATTACACGAAACTATCAATGAAAGAAATTTATATAGTGTACAGTTTTTCTTCAAATTAAACTCAATTACAAAGTAATCTAATTTATACAAAAATCAAATAATATAAGCAAAATTTTGCTTCTTATTTATTTTTAGAATAATGTATTAGACTCATTAGAGTTATATGATTTATTTCATCAATAACATTTCAAAACCAACCTAGCCCATTATTATCTGGTTTATAACAGAACAGAATCTAATTCAAATAATTTTAAAACCACTTTATACAGATAGACACTTGTGCATGATTATACAAATAATTACCTCATTTAATTCAGTTTTATAAATTTCTCTTTATCATTATTTACATCTTATTTAAACTAAGTTTTTAGAATTCTAATTCAACAGATAAACATAAACCAGACATCATATTCTTGCTCTAGATAATTGGATAATTTAATATTGAGATAACACTTTACACTTACTAAAACCATACTTTTACATATGTAAAAATGCAATTAATCATTTATTTTTGTTGCATTAATTAGGACAAATTATTTATTGTTTTCTTGATAAAAACTGTTTTTCTTTTTTGTTAAAAATAATTATTTTGATTCATTTATCTATTTTAAATTATTTAACTGGCTACTTTTGCATCTGAATTAATAATTTCAATTGTTTTTTGAATAATTCTTGATGTGTTATTAGACAGAGTTGTTATATTTAACAAATGTGTGTGTTTTTAAGAGAAAATTTTACCCTCAAAAGATTTACTTGATTTAGATTTTATGTTTCCATTATAACATCATCTATTGGCATAAATAAATAAATAAATAAATACAAACTTTTTAAACGCAATAACTCAAAATAATTATAAAATTAACGTACTAAATATAATTATAAAGAGAAATAAATAAGTTAATTGTAAATATTCTATTTTTAAACTGATGATTTATAATAAACCAAAACTTTTCAAAATGATAAAATAGTGTTACTTTCAGAAGTAACAAGTAAAGATTGATAAAAATAAACAGAATAATTATCCTGAGAGCATTAAAGTAATACAGTATGAAAAGTCACATTTCAATGTTAAATAAAATATTAATCTAAAGGATACCCTACTTAATGTTAAGATTACATAAAAATCATAACAACCTTGGAATTAATAGAGAAATTTAATTTAAATTATCATTCTAATTTTGCATTTATAAATTTTAATTTTATCAATGAAAAACTTATGCTATAAAAATTAAAACTGATGAACATAGATTATTTCAAATTTATACAAACAATTACAATAACTACTTACAATATTTAATATTAATCAAAATTTTTATAATTTAACTTATTTTTTAATTGTATATATGAGTATATTAGTAAAATTTGATATAATATTTAATAATAGCTATTGACAGTCATTAATTTCACCAAATACAACTTCATGAATGTAATCAAAATAAAGATCATAAAGTTTTTTTTTTTTACTCCAAGTTTTATTTTTATTGAAATTATACTTATCAACTATCCCATTATTACAAAAATAACTCAATAAATATGAGTTTTATTTTTAGTTTACAATAATTCCTATAATTTTGTTTTACAATCAAATTCCATCATACTTTAAGTCCTCTTTATTGATTTCATATAATACTTTTATTTATAAACTTAGAAATATAGTAAAATAATCAAATTCAATTTTCTAATCCATCAAAAACCTCTACAAATTAATTTCTATCAATTTTAATATTTATCCATTAAACATTAAATCCACTAATTATGAATCTTTCATATAAGAAATTCTATGCAAAGATAAACGACGTGACAGAGTGGCATATCTCACTTTGAAAAATAAAAGGACATTTAAAAAAATCGACCGGGAAAACTGAACAGAATTAAACAATCTAATTAACGCCATAGAGTAATTTGCAAGTGACGATGTGTTACTCTAATGAAATCTCATGGAATAACTTCGAATTTATGTAATTCATTTGCCTTAGTCTTCAACGACCAGGATCCGCGTGCATTCACGTCCGGAGGTTCAGCATGCGGAGGCCTAGGACAGGTACATACTGAAGAAACCGGTCTATGTCAACAACCAGTTATTAAACGCGTTTGTATTCCGAAAATTGTTAATGTATATACGATACTAATTTCTTAAAATCAATTTTAGTAGTTGTCATTGAAATTATTTAATAATTATCATTAAATAATCCGCGCCGAGAAATTTTTTTCTAACGCACAACACAGCGCACACGTCACACGACGTGGGTCGAAACGGTTTCTGCTAGTGTCTTTCATGCTTTAGTAACGTTTTGCTTACGCATTAAAACTAATTACTTGTATATTATTTGATTTTAATTTCATCCAACGGAGTAACAGACTATTTTTATTCGCTACGCACGCGTAACTATTAACAATACTTCTATATCTTAAGTGACTGCAAAGGATTGCCGCTTTAAAAAACTTATTAATACAAACGTTTTCTACTTACAAAAAAAAACTGCCGGCTTAGAAAAAAAAAATATATATATATAATAATTTTCTACATAGGAAAAAAAATTATTCGAATCCTCTCACCTTTCAAAACATGACAAAAATTAACCTTATATAAAATTAAAACCTCTCCGATCCGCCAAGTTGTGGGGGGAAATATTTATCAACGGATCATGATTT